CTTGGGAGGTCTCTTCGTTCTCATATCCCCCGGAGGACTGGGAACTGCCGTCGGCTTCGCTATGCGAGCTCGACATTGTGCTGCCTCTTGTCCGCTTGGTTAAGCGTTCGGCGAGGCCGACCGCTGTAGCGGACTTTGTGAGGCGGGCGGCCCTTTCCGGGCTCCGCTACCAGAAAACTGTGCCGATACACCCCCAAGGGATACTCCTTGTAAGGAGGTGTATGACCAGTTATTCCCTAAGGATCAAAGGGCAGCGCCCTGCACACGGACAGTAGTTGTTTTGTCTTGCTACGCAAGGAGAGCTTGTCTTGTCTCAATATGGTAAAACCACTGTGAGCCAATGGGCAGCGGAATGTATATGTATGAGCATGCAGCCATTGCTGTAGGTACCTGTTAGAGCTACCCCTTTAGAGGTTTATGGTTTCACCCCCCCCTCCACCCCCCTTGTACCCGTTCTCCTCGCACTTCGTACCAACAACCGTGTAAAGGTTGGGGTTTGACAGGCCGCCCTAGCATAAAAAACATCGACTGCCCCCTCGCCCTGCCGCTACACAGCCGAGGCGGGCGGCGTAGCGTTAAAATTAATATACACATATGTGCATGTATGCATGCGTGTATATGTAGCTCTCTATCTCTATAAGTACATACATACATACATACATTTGTTCCTAGGTCGTATTATGATAGTGTCTTGTGTTGTAGTATGTCATAGCATATCATGTTGTCTCAGGCTGTATTCGGTTCTGCACTATTAACTTGCAATATAGTATGTTGCATTTAGCTGTATTGTAGCGTGCTGTATGTTAATTGTAACTCCATGTGCCATATACAATACCTTCTATGTAAGGTGTAAGGTGTATGCTTTCACTGGGTTCTTCCTATGCCCAACTGGCTCCTTCCGGCCATTCTTCGAGCAGGAGTCGAAGGACGATCGTGTTGTTCGGAACTACGGCAGCATCGATGACGAAGTTTGTTCCAAACTCCTGAGCTTTAGGGTTCAGGGTTTAGGGTTCAGGGGTTCATGGTTCGGGGTTAGGTAGCCCATACTCCTGAGCTCAGGTCTTGGTCACCTAAAGCGGGGAGACACAGGAAGGATTTGGCTACTGAGGGTACGGTCTGGTCGAGTTGAGTACATTTGACAGGACATCCGGGACACCCACTTCATAGCTCTTTTCATGATCCGTCTTCAGGAAGAGAGGTCACCGCAACGACGACTACTACCCTGTGGCTATGACCTATATACTGTACATACATGCAAAGCTTTGCCGAAGAAGTGCACAGCGGCTGGGTTAATCCAGGTGCGGAGGTCTACCTGCCCAGACTCCAGGAGCTCTTCAACGGCTGTTGCATTGCGGGTAAGAATAGCCTGCCAAGGCGCCGACTCGAGACGTGCCCTTTAGTGCAAAGGGCTTCAGGCGGCACTCTGGGGGGGGGGGGGTGACGGTTTAGGGTGTAGGGTTTAGGGTTTAGGGTTTAGGGTTTAGGGGGGGGGGGCACTTTTGAGCATCCTCTACGCAGATACCGGTACCCCTCCGGCTATACTCTTGCGGTTCCCTTCATGAGGTCGCAGTGAAATCCCCAAACATACGACTAATTGCCGTGATTATGCAAGGGTAAAGAGACTGTCAACTCACAGTAAGACAACAATGAACTTTTGTTTGAATGCCAGAGAAAGAAAATCGGGTTGCCATGCCCTTCTGTTCGATTCGCCCTGGGATTGTGCAGCTTGGTACAGGGGCCGAATAATATTGATACAGTTCCTTACGTATAATAATACAATATACCCCCAAAACATATTCTAATTGTTGAGGCCCCTACATCATAGTACCCTGAAAGATCTCTTATAGTAGCCCTTCTAGATCCCTTTAAAGGAACCCTAGTATCTTGAGCCCCTGCCCTGAACCCTTAGAGTTTCGGGGCTTCGTTGCCCCCGCACCGAAACACGTGAGACCTTGAACAGTCTCTGCCCAAGGAAGGGCTGCGAGGCGGCGAGGCCTCAATCATTACCTATACTATTTTGGGGGGGTTCCTTATTATAAGTATATTATGATGGGACCTCCCTTATTATAAGTCTAGTATGATGGGCCCTTCTTGATTATAAGTGTAGTATGATGGGCCCCGAAACCCTGGGCCTGATGCATCTCTGCGTTGGATGCCGCTGCAATGGCAAAGGCAACAGCCAAGAGCCATAGCCGAGCCATGTCAGGTACCAGGGCTTTTTTAGAATTCGAGACCCGCAGGCCCTCGCCAAGGGCAGCTTGAAGCCTTATGCTGCGCAAGCCTACTTGGAGGGGCAGGGGACTTAGTAAGTATGGTTATAAGTAGACTTATAAGTACCCTAAATGGACTTACCCCAATTATAAGCCTACTTATAACCCTACTTACTAAGTCCCCTGCCCCTCCAAGTAAGCATCAACTGCCGCGCGTGGTTCTCTCAGTGCTGCAGACGGTCGGCATGGCCGATGGAGATGATAAGCCCCATAGTCTGCTCAGACACACTAAGTGACTGCTGCTATGTCTGCTGCACTCGGGCAAAGCATACCTTGGAACTGTACTACACCGTACAATACTCTGCTATTCGAAGCTCTGATAGGTACCTACCAGCCACTACTCATCCATACTACTACAACACTAAATCATACTCACCTAGATTGCAAGATTCGCAAACCCTGCCAAAACTTGCTACCACTCATCTTGCTCAGGGGCATGGCAAGAGCTTTTTGCTTTTCGATGTTCGCGCGCACCTCCCTTCCCCGGCAAAGGTCCCTCCTGGAGCGAAGCTCAAAGGAATGACCCATGCTTGTAGTGACAGCGGTGCTTCTTCTTAACATGGCCGTTCATCTTCTCGTTTCTTTCGGGGCTAAGGGTTTAGGGTTTAGGGGTTTAGGGTCTAGGGTTTAGGGGTTTAGGGTTTAGGGTGCTACTGGCAGCCGACCGAGTACCAGCCCAAGGATGAACAGGAGATCACTAGTTCCGGAAGAGGGAGCAGCGTCAGAAACAGGAGTCGCAGTCACTGTCTCTAAGAATACGCGACGTCTCAACCCTAAACCCTTACACCACACACACTGCCCGACACCCCTGTCACACCCTGAAAGCTCAACTAACACGAAGAAGAGGCTTCCGGTCCTGTCGCCATCGGCGCTCCACTGCTTGCAGCAGCCATATTATTCACTACAATATGGAATATAGACCCCTAGTCCTAGTAAGGTACCTTAAACCCTAAAAGGAACCCACCATGCTACCTTGCTTTTGAGTCTTCCGAGGACTCGGATACGCCAACAGGGTACTGCTGGTCGTGGTTGCGATATGTTCTGCCATGTGTCGTGCTACTGCGATTCGTCGCCTCTGCAATCCGAGGTGCTGTGGCACTAAGACGCTGGAACACCTGACGGCCGGAAAGTTCCCGAAGGGAACCCTAACCTCTAGGGTTTAGGGTTTCGGGACTCCAACTTCACGACCCAGGCAACTGGGGATGAGAGCATGCCAGAACTCCCAACCCACAGGCGGAGAGGTCGAGGATATGCTCTGGAAACAGACCCTCGTCTGGGCTGGACGGAACATCACGTGGTGTGGAAGAAGGAAACTCTTCAACAGATCAGAATCAGTACAGAAAAGCGATGCCTCTAAGTTCTCACAATGCATGCAAGTGCTGAGAGTATCACGTGACAGCAGATGTCCTTCGTCACAAATATCAAAATTTCACTCCATGGCCAAAAGATTCCTCGGATGTTAACTGCGATCTGGGTTTAACATCGAAGCTGGGTCCAAGAACAGCTCCGTCGTAAGAAAAGCATCGCAAGTGGACTTCGGTTGCAAAGGCTTATTTTGTTCCCTGCATCGGCGTTGCAGCATCTGAACCTGGTTTCGGCAAGAACCTTGTGACAAGTGGGCAGCTGATCGCTGCCGCATGCTGTATCATGGCCTACGAGTCGGAGAACAATCGGCCACCGCTTCGCAGGTCAAACCCCAAACCCTAAACCCTAAACCGTACCGCTTCACAGGTCAAAGCTCCGGTGCTCAAAACTACTTTCCGGTGACTTCCAGCGAGACGAATCGGCCGTATACTGTTTTGGGGGCTCCTTGTTATCATTGTTGTATAATGGGCCTCAACACCCCATTCAAAAAATTTGAGGCCCCTAGAATCGGAGCTGTGCAAACGAAAAACCCTCCAAATACAGAGGACTGCGCAGCGATTCCCGAGTCCATGTCGCGTCGATCACTTCTTGGAAGCTTTCGCGCACTTGCTGCCCTAAACCCTAAATCCTAAATCCTAAACCCTAAACCTTAGACCCTAAACCCTAGACCCTAAACCCGAAACCCTAAACCCTAGACCTGGCAGCATGACGGGCCCGGGGCTGCCATCCCTCGATCATCTTGCCCAAATGCCAGCCAATGCAAAACCACAAGGCACAGTTCTAGGCTCTTCAGTAGCACGAAGGGACAAGGTAGCCAGTTCTACAATAAACGATACATACCATAAGTACACTACTTAGCGGCACTGCAACACCGTATGATGCCACTCGTTCCTGTTTAGTAGAACTTTCATACAGTCTAGCGGCTTCTAGGAATCCCTGCCGTAGTACGACTTGGGGGTAGGCAGGGTCCTGAAGTGCAGGGTCAGCTCATGGTTTAGGGTTTAGCGTGCAAGGTCCTCGCCACCGAGTGTTTCCCAACTATGACAAAGGAACGATCATGTCAACTTGTCTGGGTTACGGTCAACTGGTCAACTACGTACAGGTTGGGGTTTCAGGTTCTCGCCTCCAAGATTTACCTGAGTATGCTGAGCACACTACACCATCTCAAAGCTTGAAGCTGCATTCGTCTATGTTGAGCCTTGTTGGGCTAAGCCGTTTGGGGATCAATGCCTGGCGGGTCTGTCTAGAACCCGGCCGGAGACAGGTTAAAGAGAGGTTCTGGTTCATGCTGCAAACGAATGCTTTTAGCCAAGCTTGCGAGCAACTTGAGAACTTGAGAACCACGAGGAAAACAATTAAAAAGCCTCAGATCTCAACCAAATCCTCGTCCTCCATGGGCGACGGTGTAGTTGCGTCTTTGGTAACTTTGGGAGTGTCCTCGGGATGGAGATTGATCCTCAGCAGCTCAAGATCACGCCGCTTCAAGATTAGGTCCACAAGTTTGGGGCCCACAAACTTCTGGCACCCTGGAAGAAACTGCAAGAATCGCACAATCAAGCCTCTTCCACGTTTGGAGCCCGTGAACCGTACATCCGGTACCCTGAACGCCGTGAACCCGAAACCCGAAAACAAAGACTCAAAACCACTGTCAAGCTGCTCCCAATCACACACTTGCACCAGGTAGCCTGACACAGAAAGGATGTTTTCAGAGGGGGCCAGGGTCTTCACACAAGGGCCGCACACTCCGCAGAACGCCTTGAGCCCTGAGCCCTGGTTTAGGGTTTAGGGTTTGCCGTAGAGTGGCGTGTGCATAAGCGGAAGTATCTTGGGACAGTGTAACTTCGAGTGCGTCGTCATATGACGATTGGCCGTTTGAGCCTGATTGTGGATGGCTCTTTCTTTTAACTCTCCCACCCCACGCCGTCTACTGCAGCCAAACCACCCAAACCTCTTCCTTATCTGGGTTTAGCACCTAAACATTCCAAGTTTTTTTCTGATTCTTCAATGGTCTGGAAGGCAGGCAGGGCACGGCAAGCCAGGACACTGCAGGGGCAGGGGCAGGGGCAGGGGCAGGGGCAGGGCACTACAGTCCTTCGGGAGGTTTTACCCTCCCTCACCGTTCTGACGAGACGCTCGGCCGGAGGCCTCGGTCGGAGCCTCGAGCGCCCATGCAAATGGTCAGCGGCGCTCTCGCCAATTTAGGGTTTAGGGTTCCGGGGTTTTTGCCCGTAGAGTGGTGCATAAACAGAAATATCGTGCGACAGTGTAATTTCGAGTGTGTCGTCGTTTAACGATTCGTCGTCGGAGCCTGATTGTGGATGGCTCTGTCTTTTAATTCTCCTACCCTCCATTCAAGGCGGCCAAACCACCCAACCCTACTCCTTTAAAGGGCATCTAAACCTAAACTCATTCCATGGCTTGCTCTCTCTCTCTCTCTCTCTCTCTCTCTCTCTCTCTCTCTCTCTCTCTCGGGCATGGAGGCGGGTCAGCGCCCCCGGGCCTCAAGCCCACCCGTTCGCATATGGAACGGTTAAGGGGGTGAGAAACGAGCGTAACTTGTTAAGAGGCTAAGGCCATGTAGTATACGATACCGGACAAGACAAGTGTACGCTCTCACTGCGTCAGCTAGGTGGTACTCGAAGGAGGGGCGGCTCGCAACGGAGAGGTAGACTCAAGACGTTTATTCCCCCTCCTTCATGTTTCCAAAATTTGCGGAGGAAAGCAAAAGTACAGTCGGTCGAATTTAGCTTCCCCCGCTGGTGCATTTGAGCGGAGATTGAACGATGCGGAGCGATGGCCCAAAGGCCGAAAACTGCGGTATGCAGAAAGTTACAAATCAGGCTTACAAGTCACATGTAGGATTTTATCTCACAAGGTTCGGGTGTTGAAAAAGTTCCGAGGTGGGTGGTCGAGACCACCATTGAAAACGTACTCTGAGCGGTGCGATTGCAGGCTCCCCCGACAAGGAGCAAGGTTACGGTTTGCTGAAAGGCAGGGCTTCGGAGTAGAAAAGCAAACAACAACCTAAGCAATCAAGGAAGCAACACCTTGAGAACTCATCCCCCCTTACACCTGAAGAATTTTTTGCACGCGAATTTTTGCCCCTCACTGCGCGAAACTGCTCAGCTCATCGCGGTCCGCCTTGTTGTCGTGCTCGTGCGGCAAGCTGTCGTCGTCTCTTCCGTTCTTCTCGACATTGTAGCTTGCTCCGCACCTTCCATGTGTGCTTCCATCTTCCCCCATAGACATGAGGGTTTGCCGTCATATTCTCCCATGTTCTGGAATTTGATGCTGTGCTCCTCTGACCATCGGGCCATTCTGGAGTGGCAGGAGCTTGGGCACCAAGACTGTCATGCTCAGAGTTTGTAGCGTCGTCGTCATGAAGAGAGGTTCCCCCTTCCGACTCTGTCGAGCATGACATGGGTGGCGTCACAGCTCGGATGTCTCCCGCTTCGTCCCAGTAGGTGAGCGCTTCGGAACGATTGGTCAGCACATGTATCTCTGTAGTGGCTTTCCCCCATCGGTCCACGGCCTCTTCCCTTAAGGGATTGACACTGTAAGGATCATATGCCAAGTTCATAATGAGTTTCAGGGGATGGCGGCCATACTTGCGGTAAACCTCCAGAAGTTGCTTGGCTTTTTTACGAAGGTTCTCCAGCGCAGGCCCGCCAAGGCACCGGGGCCCAGCCCAAAACCGCAGTTTTGTCCAGGTACTCTTGTAGGACTGGCGTGGAGGCCCAGGTCCTTGAATTCTGCTCGCTGGAGAAAGGAAGCAGGGAGCAACCCGTTGAGAGGGGTTTGGGGTGCGAACCCTAAACTTTCATTGAGAATAGTTGGGGTGGTTGGGGCAGGACTACATGCTGAGGCAATCGCGCGATAAGTGGTTGCACCCCCAATTCTAAAGAAGCGCACCCACCCGTAGGAGCAGGGGCAGGACCCTTTAGAAAAGAGAAGCGTCGTCAACGGTCGGTTCTTCTTTACTGCCCAACAGCAGAGAAGCCACCCGCGGGGCGGCGTCAGTACAGCCCCCGTGTACCGGGAGGCTTTACCCTCCCTCACCGTTCTGACGAGATGCTCGGCCGGCGGCCTCGGTCGGAGCCTCGAGCGCCCATGCAAATGGTCAGCGGCGCTCTGGGCAGTTTGGGGTTTAGGGTTTAGGGTTTAACAAGGATCTTCAGCCTAAGATGGACTTATTTGCCTAGGTCACCTTCAAGAAGTCCACCGAAAGGATAGGGAGCCAAGACTGGCCAAAGGCATCCTCAAGACCAAATTCGGCAAGCAAGGTCCGCCTGCAACTGAATACAAGCTGAGGAGGAAGCTGAATGTCTGCAGCAGCCTCAATCGGAGAATGATGACAGCGAAAGGTTGCTGAGAGGATTGCCCTCTTGTAGGATGCTGGGAATGCACCTAAACAAGGGAGGTCGAGGTTTGTCATGGTACTGTAGGCGCCTTCATAATTAAAATATTTTTTGTATTATAACCTGTATATATTGAGGAAGCCCCAAAATGGTATTTAAACTGTTGAGGCTCCTATATTACCTCTAGGGTCTTTTTCTGCAGGCTTCCCAGGGCAGAAAGGAGGAGATCGAGTCCATGAGCCTAGCGCTTAGGGCTGAGGGATTGGAGTTCAGCCCCCCCCCCCCCCCCAGATGCTGTGAATGGGCCACATGCTGGGTCATGGTTGCGTCCTCCAGGCTTCGGGGGGCCTCTGCAGGGTGTGTTGAATGGAGCAGGTTCGTGTGGCTCGGGGTGGGAAAGAAAAACGCATTCGACCATCTGGCTTGTACAGACGATCATCGTACGATGCACCCAACACGACCTTGTCGCCAGATACTTACTTACGCGTATGCGAAGTGCGACGGCAAACCCTGAACCCTAGACCCAATGCCTTGTCGCAAGCAGAGACACAAACCTAAACCTTAAACCCTAAACAGTAGAGCCTGAACCTTAAACCCTAAACCTCAAGCCGTAAACCTCAGAGCCTAAACCGAAGGCCCTAAACCTTAAACCCTCAACCGAAGAAGCTGGACCCAGCAGCACCCAAAAAACCCTAAACCTTGAGACGCATACGTTGGACCCAGGAGCATCTGAGAGGCCGTGACTGACAAGAAGATCGACCAGGCGGTGAGCCAGGCAGCAACCAAACCCTCGGAGCGCTTCTCTTCCTTAGTTTAGGGCTCAGGGTTGAGGGTTTAGGGCTGTTTTTGTTGAACGCCTTTTTTGGTTCAGGATTTGGGTGTAGGGTTTAGGGGTCTGGGGGGATCGGTGTTTGGGAGTTTCGGTGTTTAAGGTCTGGCTGTGCAAGATGAGCATGTTCTAGACATCAGTACGCTTCTTGACCTCCTTCTCGGACCGTCAAAAACACAAAGTAACCTGCTCGATAGTCCAATCGCGATTGTGGGTGGTTGCCAAAATTAGGGTCCCCTTTTGGATCCTTAATATTCTACGGCACCTATTATTTAGGGTACCCAAAATGGGACCTAATTTCGACAACCACCCATGTGTCAGCGTCTAAGGGGCACAAATATTCACAAGGACGTTTGCTAGGCTGATGTCGTTGATTGTTAGTCCAGCTTGCCTCTCCTGGGAGCATCGGCATCAGCTAAATAAGGAATCACGGCTCCTGCTGGCTGCAAAGTAGCCATGAGGAAGTCCAAGAGGTCTTGTCGCATAATTCCTCTTGCGATACTGGCATCGATCGCCTGCCATAATCTCAGTGTCAGAGGATACGAGGTTTATGCTTAATGTACCGAGCTTTTCTTGATCTCATTTGTCTGGGCAGCTAGTCTGGACGGATGATGAGAAGGCATCGTGGCTTGCTTGGAGGATCATAGGACTTAGTAAGTATGGTTATAAGTATCTCACTGAGGGTTTATAAGTAATTTAAGTATAGCTACCTTACTAATAACCCTAGTAACCCTAGTTACTAAGTCCCATGATCCTTTAAGTACCCTAAACCCTAAACCCTATAAAGCCCTGTAGATCCCTTTTAAAGGACCCCTTACAGATCCCTTTAAAGGAACCCTGTGGGAGGCTGGTCTGAGAGGGAAAGGTTGCTGAAGGCACGTGCTGGCCCCAGGACTGCTGGTAAAAAAATGCCGGTTCCTGCGACCTACGCTGAATGGGAAGTGCTCCAAAGAAGGCAGGGGTTTAGATCTTTTTCTCGGCTTTGCCACGTGTCTCCGGAACTTACCTTACGTTTGTTCCTGGTATTGTGAGCTTACAATCTGTCATGATATTCCGCCGACCGTGCACAATCGCGCAGGGCATTCCTCGTATGCACATGCGGACCTAGGGCCACTTGGATAACCGTTGTAGAGGAATGTAATTAGCATAAAGAAAAATCCAAGAACATCGTCACCAGGTAGATTGTCATCCATGCGATGCATGCGCCGTGCCGAGGCTACTGCCCGGACAGCTATCTCTATACGGCACGAAAACCCATCACCAAAGTTCAGATATCCAACCAAAGTTCAGGTATTCAGTGCCAACATGCAGGCCTACATGTAAACATGCCATGTAGTGTGAGGATGCTAAAAACTGCAAGGCTTGCTCGGTGGCCTTTCGGAGGTTCCATGGCCGAAGAATGCGCATCTGATTCAGAATACTTCGTGCAACCGTGAAAGCCATGATGCCCGCAAACCCGTTGTTTCCCTCAGAGAAGAATGCGAGGACGGTGTTGATGTCAAGGGCCACGTCAAGCAACATGAATGCAACTTTGGAATAAATGCCAGCATCTTGCCAAGGCCACGCCCAACCTACTACCGGCTTGATCTTCGGGTTCACTTCGGGGAATTTCTCAGCTTCCTTTTGCAGGAGGTCCTGAACTGCGAGTTGAATCTCATGTGCCTGCCTCGTGATGCTTTGCCCCAAGTCTCCACAGCAAAGTGTTGCTGTTCGAGCATGACGCCTTCCAAAGCTGTGAAGAATTGCCACGAGCAGGCAAGAGCCATACAGCCACGGAAAAACCTGGAAAGTATCACGCAATACCTGAAAGATGTCATCGGCACTCCAGCGTGGCGCCCAGGAAAAGTCGTCCTGCAAGTAGCTCTCTCGCCAGATCCCCCATGGCTTCTGTAAAACCCATGTTTGAAAGTCCGGGTTAACCAGCCAGGATAGCCAATAGGAGGCATCTATTGGACGAATCTGCTGTGTATACTCTGCAACATCGAACCAACGGCTCATCTGATAATCAAGCACAAGACGGTACAGAATCTGCAGGGCAATCAACCGCAGGAGGCCAAAGACATAGTTTGCCAGATTGTTCGTGGTGAGGATCAGAGCTGGGTTGCTGGATACGCCCTTCAAGCCATAGACAACGATGCCGGGGACGACGTAAAGCACTGCCACGAGTGGGTACCATGACACCCAATTAAGAGTAAGTGGACAGGTGCCAAGAATTATCATGACAAAAAAGATCTCCATTAGACGCCAGACTTTCCGGAGCGTCACACTGCCTCCGAAAGCCTTGCATGCCAATGTGTGGGCGCCTTGCTGAAAGGGACTACGGTCTGCTTGGTCAGCTGCCTTCCAGAGCTTGACATACAATTGCTCCAGGCCTAGGGCTGCAACACAGCACGGTATTTATGAAAGTATGAGTTTTGTATCAGTATAGTAGTTATATAGATACAGACTGACACAGATATGAGTATCGGTATCAACACGGTGGAATGTAGTGTATACACATCAGTTGGGTAGCTCCGGGCCTACGGCTGCAAAAGCGGCAACGAGGGCAGCGCCTAGAGCTGCCCAAGTGCCCCAGTCTTCCACAATCTTCTCGGACAGCTCAGATTCCAGGCGCTCCTGCCAAAACTGAATAGCCTCCTCATCCTTCAGGTGGCTTAGCAGTGGTGTCCCAAAAGGTTGAAGCCGAAGGTCACCACCGCATTGCAGCCAAAGCTCCAGGTCCTGCTTCGAAAGCAGGTCCAAGTGCTTACCTGACTTGTCCTTGAAGTCCTTTGAAAATTATGTACTATTATGGTTCTCTACAAAACAGTAGGGGAATGAAAACTATTTACTAGTATGGTTCTCTACAAAATAGTAGGGAAAATTAAACAAAGATCCCAAAGGACAACCCAGTTACATTCCAGGCTCAAGGCTACCTCCTTCCAAGGCGGCAGCATGGTGCCATTGCAGCCAAGCGAAATCACCACGCCGCATGCTGCATAGTTCATGAGCGTCTGGCCATTCATGTCCTTGACATACAGCCCTTCAGGCCATTGTCCGAGCAGAAGCTGGAGGATGTGAAAATGCCCGAACTCCGCCGCAACATGAAGAGCTGTCTTCTCGAACCTGCTTTGGCAATTCTGCGAAGCTGGGGCCAACAGGCTAAGGATCTAATCTCAGTAGAAACATGAAGTAATTAAGTTTTGTCCATTCACGAGCTTCCAAAAGCACGATCAAGAAGGCTGTTTAATTTCAGTCCAGGTGCCGATCGACTGCCTGAACTCCTTCTGGCCACACCTCCACGAGCACCTTCGCATTTTCGAAGTTGCCGAAGTTCGCTGTAACGATCCTGGGACGGTTTAGGGTTCAGGATCTTTTTGCTAATGCCCCTTTTCCGCTAGAGTTTAGGGTTAAAGGTTTAGGTTCTAGGGCTGCGTGCATTTTGTTGTTCGGTTTGCGGCTGCCTGGTAACGAGGGGCGTGATCCCCAAGAGTGCTCTTTCACTTTTTGTTGGCGGTAGTGTATGGCCTAAACCCTAAACCCCAAACCCTAAACCCTAAAACCCTAAACCCTAAACCCTAAACCGTGTAGTGATTCCTTGAGGGTTGTCTTTAAGCCTGCAAAACTGAGCAGAGAGTCCCTGCTCCAACCTTGGTGCCACGAGAAAACGGCGGAGGGAGTGTTTAGGGGGTGATCTTGTCTCTTACAAGCTTTTACTTATATATGTATGTGTATATATATACTACCGATTTTTATATATCTAGTTATTTTTAATTTACTTATTTACTTATATTATATGCAACTCTAACTGATGCCGCCGAGAGGCAAAGGTGTGGCGAGATAGGTCGGTTCCCGTGTAGAGGCTCCTGCAAACATTCATGGGAACTGGTCACACACACACACACACAGACACACTCTAGACTCTGAACCCACAGCACTGCGGTACTACAGTCCTTGTATGCTCCTGTCTTGGGGAGGTATGGTGCCCTCCAACCCCTCCATGCCACCACAGGCTTCCTGCGAGAGTCTTGGTTGTCCCAGCAATGCGCGTACCCATGCGATTACTATACTATCTCGGCAGGTGCACACACGCGATACTATCGTGTGTGCGTGTGTGTATACTTTTTCGTTTATTTGTTGTCATGGTTGTATGTTATTTGTCCATGTGCTCTCTTTTCTGCAGTCATTTGACTGTTCAGCTGCTCATTGATCAATGTCTTCGTATTCATGTATTCATTCATGTACAAACACATGTATGTATATACATACATACATACATACATACATACACGGACGTATTTATATGTCTATATATATATACGTATACATATATATATATATATATATGCTTCGGATCATAACCATTGCACGACCTCACATTAGAGAACAATCCCTTACAGCATGCTCCATTATGATATATTTGTGGTTAATCCTGGCTGTTGCTGCACTACGCTCAACTGGCTCCTTCCGGCCACTCTTCGAGCAGGAGTCGGAGGACGACCGTGTTGTTCGGAGTGGCGGCAGCATCGATCACAAAATGTGTTCCAAACTCCTGAGCTTTGGGGTTCAGGGTTTAGGGTTCAGGGGTTCATGGTACAAAAGTTGTTCCAAACTCCTGAGCTTCAGAATTCAAGGTTAGTCGGTTAGGTCCATACTCTTGTGCTTAGGGCTTGGTCACATGAAGGGGGGAGGCACAGCAAGGATTTGGCTACTGAGTTTATAGCCAAGTCGAGTCCAGTAAGCTCCACATGACCTGGACATCAATCCTGAAGGCCTTCTTCATGGTGACTCTTCACGAAGAGACATCCCCGCGACGACCATCCCTCCTACACGGCTCTGTCACTAATGCTCTACTACAGGGGCCTTCACAATTAGAAGAGGGTTTGGGGACGTATTTTGCGAATAATAAGGAACCCCCTAAATAGTTAATTCTTAATTATTAACGCCCCCATATTGCCTTTAGCTCTTTCTCCCAGAAGTGCCCAGCTGCTGGGTTTCGCCACGTGCGAAGGTCTACCTCTCCAGACTCCATCAGCTCTTTGACGGCTGTTGCATTGCGGGCATATATGGCCTGAAAGGGAAAAGAGGAAGGCCGCTATTAAAAAAAACAAAGAACCCTTTACGGTTCTGGGTTTAGGATGGCTTGGGTACCCCTGAAGCTGCGCTCGCCAGTTCTTCCTGAGTTCTCATTGGAACCCGAGAATGTGTGCGTGTCAAAAATACTTGCCACGATCCTCGAGGATGGGGAGAAGATGATCACTCATCGAGCAAACTAGGACCCTTTCTGTGAACCCAAGTTTCATGAAAGGTCCCAGGCTGCCGTGCCCTTGGGTTGCTATCTTGAGCCCCTGACCTACAGTCTAGCCATAGGTTTAGAATATCAGGGCCTGGTTGCCCCGTACCGAAACCTGTGACACTTGAACAGTCTCCACCCAACGAAGGGATGTGAGGCGCGGGGGCCTGCTGCATCTCTGCATTGGATGCCGCTGCAGTGGCACATGCAGCAGCCAAGAGCCAGAGCCGGACCAAGTGGTATGTGCACATGGGCGATTCAGAGACACGGACCTGCTTGCTAAGCGCGCCTTGCAGCCATGTGAGAACTTGAATGCTGCGCAATGCGACTCTCGCTGCAGACATGTCAGGAGCCCACTGGTCTTCCCAGATGCGCGGAATCAATGCTCTTACAACGGCAGACGAGCTGTCTTCTACACTCCTGAAGGCGTACCCTAGAAATATACTATGTTGTCCAATACTAATTCAGTACTGTGCTAGGTACTCGCCTATACGACTGCAAGACTGTATGATACTGACTTATATATACCGTAACCATGACAAAGCTTCGTCAACATGTTACAACTCATTTTGTTCGGGGGCATGGCCAAAATCATTTTGCTTCTCGATGTGGGGTTGCATGCGCTGGCTTTCCCTCGGCCAGCAGCCACTGAAGTTCCAGCCTCTTTGGCCAGGGCCTTGGAAGAAGGAAGCAAGAGTAATGCTAAAGCCCTTTCAGTTGCAAACTCATTGCCTAGGCCTTGACTTGACATGCCAAGCTCTGGCGGCCGAAATCCTGGCAGCCATCGCTAAGTGTTTTAACCGTAGGGTTCCGGACCACTGCTATCACGGCCGCTGCTACTGCTAGCGCTGTTTTTTGTATACGCGATTATTATCACTATTTATCATTCAACTCACGAACACTGTTGCTACTGCAAACTCCTCAACCCCAAACCCCAGCAAGCCGCTGGCCCGTTTGCCCCGATCGCCGGATCCGGCGATCCTGTGGGACATTTCGCGGCTTCACGAGGGCCATCTTCACGGTTTCCACTCTCACACTCGTGCAGCGGCAAGCCTACCATCATCACGCAAAGCTTTTCGTGCATGTGCAACATATCTGTCGCGAAACCAATCGGAATGGATCACGAGCATGGCGCTCGTAAGCTCGTAGCTCAATAAGTCACAGGCATGCTCACAGTCACCGGCAGCCTCACAGTGTCCGTCACAAGTGGCCCCGCATGAACCACACAAAACGACGTCACCGAGGCAGCTGAAGGCAGTGCCCTGTCAATCCTGGACAGCGCTCCTTGCATGTCGTTGCACTTAGATGAAACTGATGCAACCTCACAACCCAGCTTGCAGCTTGGGGCCGCACAACGACGTAACGACTGTCTCGGTCGCAAAAACGCCTATCCGTCGCACACTTCACGCGGCAACGGGCAATCTCCCAAGTCGCCACCCCGACAGTGGTTGTCGTTGTCGTGGCATAGCCCAGCAAGGAGCAGGCATGTTCACATCTGCCTTCGCCCTCGCTGTGACCAGAACAAGAGCCCTGGCAGGAAGAGCACATATTGGCCCATCGACCTGCGACCATAGCAACAGCCTTGTCCATCATGGAGGGACCGACAGGTCTCCTGGCAGACGGTGACGTCGGCAGACTGTGGCAATGTGACATCCCAGCACGCAGCTAGGGCGCCCACAGCCACTGTTCCAACCACAGCAAAAGTCATCCTCCTCACACTGCTTTTCACATATCGAGGTTGGGTCAGGCAGACTCTGTGTGGTTGTGGTGGTGGTGTCCGACAAGGGGATATCCGAAAAGGAGATCTTGTAGCGTTGGCTGTGGAATTGGGAGTCCGACATCTCGTCCAAACCGGCGGCGGAGTAGCCGCCAGAGCTTACCATCATTGGACTAAGCAGGTTTTGGGAGGAGAAGTCCAGGGAATTCCCCATGCCCCCCATCTGTGTGGAGGAAGGCAGAGACATGAATCTTCTTCAGGTTGTGAAGCTCCGCGAAGCCAATCGACACCGGCTCTTCAAAGCCCACATTCCTGAGCGCGGGCTAGATGTTGGCCATAATTGGCAGTCTTCAGGTGCCCGTCAGCAAACTTGCACTCTCAGGGTCCCGAACGTACTCATAGGTAGAGATGCGGGAGACCAGCAGGCCATCCAAAGATCGCGTCCGACGACGCACCCCAATTTGACGTTCCAAGTCTGCCTACCTGTTTGGCAGTGAGGTGGTATAGCAGAGTGTCCGCCAACGAGGGCCAAATGGTTGGGCATGCCTTGCTGAAGACATCTGAAGACAAACTGTTGGATCCCCTCCTTCACTTCACTTGCGGAAACGGAAGCGCTGTCACGCGAAAGCGGAAGCACAGCCCCTCCTCGGAGCGCCGCAAGGAGCGGGGCCAGAGCTGACGTGGCACGGTAGGCTTGCAGCTCTGGGGAAGCCTGGCTACGTTGGTGACGCCAAGGTTGCCAGGCTTCCCCAGCACATCGAAGACTTCCTCTGCAGTCTGCCGATGAGTCTGTGGCAGGCCTGGTGCTTCGGGGCCCGAACCCGAGCCCACGAAGATCAGGCTTTGCACCTTGAGCTCGCCAGCCAAGGTCACAAGATCCACCGTATGGCTAAGCAGGACCAGCGGCGGAGACTTGCTTGCAGCCAGAGGGGCAGCCATGAGCGCGGAGGTAGGCGTCGCACCGAGCCACCACCAGCTCCGAAGCCTGAAACCAGAACTTGGGGGCCAGGGCTTCTGAGGCGCAGGGATGGTGGCAAGTAGCAGCATGAGCTCCACATCGTGCGGCAGGAGGAAGCGGATGCGTGCAAATCCAGGAGGCTTGGCTTTCGGGGGCGAGAGCACAGCTTGGGTCGTGGTTCTGGTGGTCTCCGCATGCACAAAGCCTCGCATAGTGGCTGGTCCCATTGCAGGTGCGAAACTTGGTTTTGCCAAAAGCGCAGAGACCTATCCAGCTGTCGCCACAGCAGCTGGAATCCAAATCCCACGGTTGTTGTCGTAGGCCCAGCCATACAACTTGGTACAACTGTAGCCCACTTTCAGGGGACGGCAGCCAACATCTCTTCTTTTGTGTCGACATCATACATCATGGACTCGTGGCAGAACTTACCAGCGGCCCCGCAAACGTCGCTGCAGGTCTGCCCAGTGGCCCGGAAGAACCAGTCAGAATCTGTCAGGAAAGTGTCGCTCTTCATGCCAACTTGTAACAATCCACGGCTCCGGGCTGGGTCATCATCGCAACCGGCATCACCCTCGACAGATGGAAAAGCCAGCAACATCGCCGCTGTTGCCGTCAAACAAACCATTGTACAACCAGGTGGCCTACGGCGGTTTATACAAGGGGCAAAGCCAAGTCAGCTTGTACTTGAAATCTCTTGAGCCCAAATCTTCAGGGTTTAGACTCTCTCGCATTCGGACGGCCACAGCGCAAAAAGCATGCTTGACCAAAGACTTGTGCAAGCTTGCAACTTCGGAGAAGCAACAATCCAGTCCTCCGTCAACGTCACCGGTCAGGTCCACTGGTTCATCGTAGCCCACGCCTGAATGGGGCGTCCAATCCAAGAACTCATCGCCTCCTAAGACTACTTGGAGGGGCAGGGGACTTAGTAAGTAGGTTATAAGTAGGGTTCGGGTAACTCCATTTAGTGTACTTATAAATCCACTTGTAACCTACTTACTAAGTCCCCTGCCCCTCCAAGATAGACTTTCGCTGCACTTGGGCCTCGCAGGGTCTTCGAAGGGGCGGGAGCCGGCCGAAGAAGCCCATGGTATGACGCTGTGGCGGTGATTTTGTTGGCGCAACTCAGAAGATCCACTTCCTGCAAAGTAGTGGGGCAGTCTGCCTTGCCATAGCTGTCTGTGGCCCTGTACTGCGATGCCGGTGAGCTCTGAACAGCGAAAACACCGCAGGAGCCGGGATAGATCGCCCAAGGCCTTCCCAACTTGTACTCGAAAATCACAGGAGTGCTTGTGCGACCTGGATACCCAGAGGGGGACAACCAGTCGCGGGAGGCTCATTTGGTGGAGCTGCCCTGTCCAGGGGACGGACGAAAGATGCTCGCCTTTGGTGCCAAACCTCAGGCGACCGCCGCAGCTTCAACAGCTCGCCCCACACTTCTTCGTGTCACGGAGCAGGACCTCTGCCATCCCTGAGCTGTGCCTGGGTTTTGGTGCCTGAAGCTGGCTCACAGTGCGGATGCCTCTCCTCCTGGGTGAAGGCCCTCTCATTCCAGAGTCGGATGGCTTCCAAGTCCTCATTCTCCAAATGCCTCTTTCAGTGCCGTGTAGGCCTTGTTGATGCGCTGGAAAGCCTGCGCAGAAGTCGCACAAGAAAGATGAGAGAATCACCACAGCTCCCATGTGAGTGAGGCCACTCGAGTTGGCAGGCTTCCTCAAACACTCAATACTTCGGGCTTTGCGACATCAACTGTCTGGTGCTTAGTAGGGAATGGTGGGTTTTATCCCCGTAGTAGTCCTTATAAAAACCCCAATAATCGTCTCCATAATCCATTCCCCCACCTCCCTCCTAAGAACCAGACAGTCAACCCTTCGAGAACTGCACTTAGGGGGCTTCGGCAAAGGTCTCCAGGCTCCGCAGAGGCCTCGGTGGCTCTGCCCACGTCCTGAGCGGGGCTTCAGCCAGGCTTTCGGCCTACAGTATGGGGCTTTGGGGTTTGGGGTATAGGGTTTAGGGTTTGGGCTTTTCTTTTGAGGGCCCTGTTCCTCCTTGCTACAGTCGGAATACCTAGTAGGTGGGGTGGAGCCGGGGGGAGGACAACCTGCAGTGTTTGGGGTTTAGGGTTTAGCGATTGGTTAGGGTTTGATATAGAGTTTCTCTACGGCAAGCCCCCAAGAGTTGGAAACAGGATTAAGTACGATTAGTGCTGGGATTCCTTATACATTGCTCTTAGGGATTTAGGCTACTGGGTTTCCAGCCTTTCGGCCTCTACGGCATGAGGACAGGAAGCCAGGCCACGAGGGTTTAGGCTTTGGGACCGTGGCAGGTTTCGGCACTGAGCTATGGTACCACGACGACGAGGAAGACAAGCAGGACGCCGACGCCGACGCCACGACGAGGACGGCAAGGACGAGGACGAGGTGAAGGTTCGCTTTGCACATGGCCGGCTTTAGTCCAGCATTTTGAAGCATTCTTCGAAAGAGCTGTGCATCGACTGCTGCATTCGTGCAACAGGCGGTGTCCTCGCTGTTCTTGTCTGGATGATACCTGGCCGGAAAGACTCCAAACCCAAAGCCCTGAACTCTAAGCCGACGCCAGACAAGTCGAACAAGGCTCAAGCTTTCAGTTCTTGCATCCCGCAATCCCGTCTGATGCAGGGGCCCTCACAGACAGGGTTTGGGGTGGAGACTATCTCTAACTATACTATACTGAACTATACTATACTATACTGTACTTTATTCTCTACTATACTATATTAAGAACTATGAAGGCAATGCTACTCCGAGTTATTCCGAGCCCTATACTACCCTAAACCCCAAACCCTAAACCCTAAACCCCCAAGCCCACTACCCCTGTGAAGCTGCGGAAAGAGCCGGGCCTCAGCGCGAGCCTTCGGAAGCTCTGGCGAACCTCCTGCCCGGGTTTGGGGGCTCTTTGGAAGCTCCTGGGATCCTCTCATCCTTCAGAACAGTATAACTGTAGAACTATTAGACATCAGATTATAACTATGATTTCGAAGGTCTGATAACTGTAAATCTGATTTTGATTATGATCTCTAAGGTTACTCGAATTGCTCTTCCTGCTAGTGTTGCTACTACTGCTGTTTTCCCATCTTTACTATTAGCAGAATTACGGCAGCTACCATGAACATCATGTGGGTGCAGGTCCGTGTGCAGTCCTCCACAGAAGCCGTCTCAGGCAGGCCCAGCTGAGCGAAGTGAGACTTTAACAAGGGATCTGCCAGCCTGGCTCGTCAAGCTTAAGGCGGCTACATCACTTGAAATTACATGGGTGGTTGTCCAAAATATGGTTCCTTTTTGGGTCCCTAATATAGCACGGCACCTATTATTTAAGGTACCCCAAAAAGGGGCCATAATTTTGACAACCACCCACATGGAAAGCTGAGTGATGGTGCCGGGTCTGAGTGGCATGTCCCACTACGTGGGGTACGAGACACTGGGTTCTTAGACGTGCACAGCATCGCCAACCCAAGGAGGCCACGGCTATAGCCAACGCCGTACAGAGAAAAAGCCAGAGAGAGACAACGCGATCGAACTGTAACATAGGGGCCTCAAGAATTAGAACAGGATGTTTGGGGGCCCATTATACTGCAATCATAATAAGGAACCCCCCAAAATAGTATTGGTAAGTACTTAAGCCCCAAAATTATAGCACCCTGATAGATCCCTTATAGTAACCCTTATAGGCCCCTTCAAAGGAACCCCATAGAAATCATTTAAGCCCTTTAGTATGAACTTCGGAAGCTACCTTGCTTCGGAACACGTCGTCTCGGGGCCCTTCGGCGCCGCACCTGGCGAGGGGTCGCCGTGAGTTACGCCAGCCAGCGCAGTGTTCCGGAGATTGTTAAGGGATAAGGGTTAAGGGGTTTAGGGTCTAGGCTTTAGGGATTAGAGTTTAGGGTTTATGGATTATTTTCTTTGGGTTACATGGTCTTTTCTCTCTTGTAAGTCCCTCAGCGACACGGTAGAAAAAGGGCACAAGCTGGACAGGACGAGGTCCGCACATCGCCACAACACCGAGCACCAAGAACGCGCTTTGGTCCTAACGTAGGGGCCTTAGTAATCAGAATGTGGTTTCGGGGCCCCTTAAATTCTGTTCATAACAAGGAACCCCCAAAAATATTATAGGTAATTGTTTAGGCCCGTGTAGTATTCGTGAAAAATGAAATCGACGATCACGCAGTCGCACTTTTTGGTACAGCTCTGAGACTTGGTTCTTGTTCAGAAAACTTGCTTTAATCACCAATTTAAGGAAAACCAAATGATTTTGCTACAGATCCCCATCGTGGTAACTTAAATTAAATCCCTTAACAAGAACCCAGGAGATGTCACCTGTGTTCTTAGCAGCATGGTTCGGGGCAACGCCTATAGGTTTGCTCACCCGGGGGGTTTTGGTTTCCAACAAGGCCAGCAGACCCTGAATTGCATAGCTACCCATGGGCTCCATAGTAGTTCCTTTTTGAGATTACCTTACTGGATTCCTAAATACGAATCACAAAAAAGACCTATAGGATGAAGCCTATGGGTACCTAGCTACTTGGGTCTTGGGTCCTTGCGCCTACATCCCGCACAGCAGGGATGGAACCCTGGCACCTGCAGCTCCCCACGGGCTGTACGGCAAGCCCAAGGCCTGAGCCAAAACGAAATTGGATTCCCTGTCTTCATACGGTTTGATGCCGTAAATCCTGCATTACCCATAATAAGGAATATACCAGAATCTCCTATAGCTTAGGGTGCTTAGGGTAATGCAGGATTTTTTTATCATCAACCGTATTACGTCTCTGGTAGGAACCTACTCAGTCAGCTTCTGCCCCTGCGATACCTTCACCCAGCCACATGGGAGTTTCCAAAAATTACCGGTACCTTATTTTGGGGTCCTTATAATAAGGATCCTACTATTTAGGGTGCTATATTAGGGTCCCCCAGTTTCGGAAACTCCCACATGAACCATGGCAACGGCTCGCAACTTGCAGTGCCAGTCGCCCGAACTTTGCCCGTTGGCCCAAAAAGTTGAAGCCTCAAACCGAAGCTTTAAACCTTCACACTTCCGCCCGACACTTTCAGCACGAAGCGCTAAAGCTACTACTACATGCCAAACCTTGCACCCTCAAGTCCTCCCCAGGCTCAGGGTCCTCCCTTCCACTCCAAACCCTAAACCCCTAACCCCTATACCCCTATACCCTAAACCCCTAAACCCCTGAACCATAAAATAAACCATACACTGTCATCCCTACCTCCTGCACCGCAGGGCGGAGGTGCGGTTCGACGAAGTCCATGGCCCTGGCATCCTCGCAGCTCGTGCACTTCGCTTCGGGCATTTCTCGAAAAAAAGCTGAAGGTCTTTAGGGTAAGTCTTGGTTTTTGAAGGCTCCGTCCCGTCTTGGTAACTATAGGTCATAATTGCAGCCATTTATTTACACATGAGTGCATGGCTATATAAAAGCAATTATTCCTTGTTGTTTCAATTTCACGGTATCGTCAGTAGTAGTACTATTTTATTCCTTACCCACAACCCAACACTCCGGTACTGCTTCAAGTCAAAAGAATGCTTCCATTTACGCTGATGAATTTAAGTTTGATGCAAAAGCTCTGGGAGACTTCCCAAGGTGGGAAATTGAAAGAATTGTCAGCTCCACGTTCTTGACGGAACTCTCTTGCCCTGAACATGCAGGGCGTGCGTCGCGACGGCTCCTCCCTAAACCCTAAGCCCCTACACCCCAAGGGCGAAGTCCCCAATGACCGGAACTTGTCAGCGGAGCTTCTCCCCCTTCGGACTCCACGCCTTCAAACCCCACAAAGTCTCCCAGCTGTTCTGAACACGTGGGAGCCACGGGCTGAAACGAAAGCTCCATAGTGTACATTCGTACGCGTACCTGCATACATACAGACAGACATGCATGCATATAAACGAACACACATACATATACATGCAGACATACATACATACACGCACAGACATAGGACTTTATAGGCTGACATGTGCATATTCGTAAATGCAGACATAGGAGATGAGGAACTAGTATCTAGGGCAACTAGGCTGCACAGTATGCAAGACAATCCAATGCAAGTCCGACGTCAATGCTTTCCAAAATCTGCAAAGGACGTTGAAGCAGAGCACCCTGGGCCAGCATCAACGGCATCAGAACAAGCTCATTTCTCAAAACCCTGCTGAAAGAGACCGGAAGACTCGAAATCTTGCCCGAAAAGGCCCCCCTGACAAGGCGGTCCTGGCCAGCCACGGGTGGGGAGGAGCTTAAAAAACCCTGCAAAACTACCCCCAACTCAAACGAAGCTTTTGCAGGTGAGCTTTCGTGATAGTATGTAATAACATGCAAAAAAAGTATGCACTCCAAAAGCCAGAGCCCATTGAATCCCATAAGCCTCGTGGACACAAGTGCTAAACTCCTAGACCCGAAGGGACCTGCCGGATTGCTGCCAGGACCAGGGCCGCATCCTGCACACGGTTTCGGGTTTCAGAGCTGGGCCTTTTGCCCGCAGGCCTAGGCCTAGGCTTGCTGAACCTGCTCCCGGGGCCATGAGCGCCGAAGTGCCCTAATCCCCCGTGCACGAAATATCAGATACCCAGCTTGACCAGCTGGCGAGCAGAAGAAAGCTTGTGGATGCCAGCACCATTGGGGAGAAATGATGGGTGTTTGCCAATATGACAGCTTCTGTAGTTGAAGCTTGCATCCGCTCATGTTTGTTGACAGTAGGTCGAGGGGTGCCGGCGCTTGGGGGAAACCCGAAACGCCTAAACCCCTAAAACCTCTAAACCCCTAAAACCCCTAAAACCCCTAAAACCCCCAACCCCAAACCCCGCAAACACCACCCAAAAACCCTAAAGTCTAACCCCGAATGGCCCGAATACCGACAAGGCCCTCCTGCACGTGCGGCTCGAGGAGCGCCAGCACCAAGCCACAGTTCTGAGCAGCCGCGAAAGCGACCTCGGATACTTGGTGGGGCAGGGGACTTAGTAAGTAGGTTATAAGTAGAGTTATATTCAATTATAACTCGACTTATAACCTATACTTCTGCTTCTTTAAGTAGGGTTTAGGGTTTGGGGTTGGGGCCCTATAGGGTGTATAGGGCCCTTCTAAAGCTCAGAGGCTTTTTTTTTCGGGTTAAGGCTTCAGGGTTTGAGTTTGGGTCCGACTGGAACCCTCAGAGGCTGAGGGCAGCTCGGGTTCAGGGCTGAGGCCTCACGCTTTCCCTAATTTCAAGTTGGAGTTTGGGTTTAGGGTTTAGGGTTGGGAGCTTCAGCTACTTCAATGGGCCCGCTTCATAAGAGTCTGTGGACGGCAGGATTCACGGTGAAGGGCTTTATGGTCTTGGGGGCTCTTGGCTGTACTTGTGGTACCCTAGAGGAGTCTTGAGGCTCGTGGTTTATATTCTTGAGACCTGGGATTCAGGGCAAGATGAGGGTTGACGCTTCAAGGAGCAAGACCCGCACTTGCAAATCTTTCGCCTGGAACAAAAGCCTTTCCGCAGACAACGCAAAACGCTGCAGCTTGCACATATGCAAACATGAACACGTAGGACGAAGAAGCAGAACAACAAAAGACACCTCAAAAACGAAAAACAACATCAAGAACAGCAGAAGCAGCATGTGCAGCAAGCAATTAGAAGCAGCAAGAGCAGCTGTGGCACCTGCAGCAGGTGGAGCAGCGGCAGCACTAATCGTGGTAGTACAGATACTACTCGCACTGGGGACAATAGGAGGCGTGGTAGGAACTGCAGCAGATATTGGTACAAGAAGGTTGCAACTCAAAGAGCTGAGTCCTGGGATTCAGGCTTCATAATCGCCGCAATACTGTCGGGCGTAGCGTAAGGCCTGCGGCAAGTTGGACAAGGCTTCAGGGCCAAGCATTCGCTCGTGTGATTGCTTCAAACTTTGGGGGGCTCCGAGCTTTGGCACAGGATTGATATGATGCTCATCGTGATCTACCCGGACAACACCTGCCCGAGCAACTATGGGAGGATGACAATCATGAAGATGCTGCTGCTGATGATGATGACGACTTGTTTCGACTTGTGATCGATAATGATGATGATGATGATGATGATGATGATGATGATGATGACGATGGTGACGATGATGGCCATGCTGACTACAGTGACGATGATGACGATGACGATGATGGTGATGGTGATGATGATGCTGCTAAGGATGACGACGATGATGATGACCATTATGAGATGATGATGATGATGATAATGATGATGGTGATGTTGATGTTGATGGTAATTAGCGGTGAAAGCGATGACAATGACGATGATGGTGATGATGATGATGATGATGACGATGCAGATGATGATGATGATGATGGTGATGATGATGTTGACGATGATGATGATGGTGATGATGATGGTGATGATGGTGAGGAGGAGGAGGAGGAGGAGGAGGAGGAGGTTAGGACGAGGAGGGGGAGGACGAGGAGGAGACTGATGAGAATGCAGATGAGGATGAGGACGAGGACGATGATGATGAAGAAGATGATGATGGTGATCATGACCACGACCAGCATAATGAGAAAGATGAAGATCGTTAGCAGTTAGCACTGTTGCTGTTGCCGAAGCAACCTGCACTCCCCCAGAAGCCTCCCCTGTCTTCTTCACCGCTGTCAAGACTACGTCCCTGTCGGCCTGACATGTTCGGATTTTGTGGAAGTCGATCGTCACTTGCAACAGCAGGAGGTTCAAATCCAGATTGAAGCTTGTTCTAGGGCAAGGGTTCTTATGCTGGACTCTGCTAGCCTGTGGGAGGGCTTGAACAGCCCGCGGGCGGCATCTGACTCTCGAACTCTTCGTTGACCCTTGCCTGCAGCTCTGGCGACGCAAATTCCAGGGCCCAGCCCTCCTCACAGTGCAGTGACAATCTATCTTTGCTTCCTCACCACAAGGCCGCCTTCAGCCATGCGCTGCGATGAACGGTTGCTATCGAAATCGTGAGGTTTCACTGAAGATCGACAAAGCCTGTTTAGTGCTGACTTTTCGTGCACGGCAGCTGCACCATTGTGCATTCCTGCAAAAACACGGCAGCACGACTTGGCTGCAAGTTCAAGTGTCTTCCGCACGTTGCAATTTCACTAAATAAGCATGCCATGCAAACAGAAGCAGCAGGATAGTCTGACCTTGCCTTCATTGCCAGACTCACAAGAAGAAGTCTTCTGATGAAGCTTTATGTTGGGGAGTGAAATGAAGGCGGTCATAAGATCAGCTGAATTGCTAGGGAAGCTTGGGGGCTTTGCCCCCACATCCGATTCTACTCATATCAACACAAGAACGCTAGCAGAAGCGAAGCCCCTTGCATTACCCGGGCCGGAGGAACCTCGTGCCAGTATCAACAACTCCGTTGCATGTATCTGAGAGCCTCTGCTGCAGACACATGTAAGCAAGGCTTCGATGTCAGCACCACCGTGAGTTTGACTATACCTATACGTACAATATGGAGCAGGCATACCATAACCCTCCATCTCGTGAACTGACAGTCGAACGCCGCAGATTTGGGATCAGCGGGCTTTGCAAGAGGTCGTAACCTGTACAGATTTCGCCATGCGGTCGCTTGCCCCTGAAGCCGAAACCCTGGAAACTTCAAAACCCAAGCTCTGAAGCCTAAACCCCAAACCCTACAAGCCTGAACCCTAGACCCTATAGCCTATAAGCCTAAACCCGATACCCTACACTCTATAAGCCGAAAGCCTAAACCTTATAACCTGTAAGCCTAAACCCCAAAACCCTATACTCTATTATAAGCCTCAACCCTTAACCCTATACCCTATACTCTATGACCCCAAACCCTAAACCCTAAAAACCCTATACTCCATAACCCTAAATACCTAAACACCAAGCCCACAAAGCCGGTCGCTCAAAAAACCCTAAAGGTCGACCGGATGGTACGGCTCGATGGGTAGGAACGGTAGCACCTCAGCCACACCCACTTTAGGGTTTAGGGTTGAGGAGTTTACGGTTTGTGGGGTTGAGGGCTGAGGGTTTAGGGGGCATCGCCCAGCATCTAGGAATACTTGTCTCAATTGGGGCTGTCAGCAATGATAACCCTAGTTACATACCTTCTTAAAGGATCACGGGACTTTGTAACTAGGGTTGTGGTTGGGGGCAACTATACTGAGTACTGATAACGTATAATCATACTGCTTGGGGCTTTCAGGAAGAATGAGTATTAGTTACCCCAATAATAACCCTAGTTACTAGGTCATGTGATCCTTTGGGTAACCCTAAAACCCGCTGAACCATGACAGAACCCTTTTATGGGTAGTAATAAGGAGGGTTACAAGGAGGGTAACTATACTTATAACCCATATTAGGGGACTGAAAACCCATTTATCACTAATTACCCAAGAACCTCCCAGTTCGATCCTTTAGGAATAGAGTTTTTGGACTGGGGCTTCGAACTTCGGACGGGACGGTGAGCTCGATGAGGCTTTGATTCGAATGTATACGGGTATTTGAACCAGTGAGCGAACAAGCCACGAAGAATTGCCGCATTAAACGACACAAGAGCGTTTCCCAACAAAAACCATGTGCATGAGCTATACTCCTGCAAGATCTTGCCTGCAGATGCCCAAGGACATACGGACAAAAGGCCTGAAACGGTCCTACGCCCTAAATGCCCCTTTGTGTGACCTCTGCAACTTCACGCCGAGCCAGGCACCCGCTCGGCCCAGAGGAAGGAGCCAAAGCCAAGCTCCTTCGGTGGCGGTTCAGGGTTTAGGGTTATTGGGTTGAAGGCTCGAGAGTATATAACCCCTCCTGGGATTTACGGCGTAGGATCAATTCATATGTCTACGGAAAATAGGTTGGCACTCTCACAAAGCCAGCACAGGTACGCATCCTGAAAGCAAAGGATGCTATCTATGCTTCGTAACCCATACAAAATGAATCCCTTCCAGAAAAAACCACAGGAACCCTAAAATTCCTCAAATTCTCATTCGGACCCAAATACTCTCGACCTTATGGAAGCTATTGAAGGAACCTTATCCTTCTACTATGAGACGTCCTTGCCCACCCAGGAGAGGAAGGACATGCGATGCCGGTGCCAGTCCGGGAAGATCCAAGCATACCTGTGCTCTGCTGGCATTAGTGGCTGTGCTGGTCAGGGCGTTTGAGGTTCAAGGCTTCGTGGGCTCATGCCTGGCTGCGGGACCAGAAGGGTCCATGTCTTGGCAAGCAAGAGCCATCGCACAGAAGCAATGGCTTGCTAGCATAGCTTGATAAAATAGAAAATCTCCACACTTTCGGCAGTTCGGTGCGCCCCAATCCATCGTTCGGCGGTGAAGTCCGAGTCACTTCGTCGACCAGGGCACCAGGCGCATGGCGGACATGAGCACCTGGCACTACAGCCGTTGGCTTAGTAGGCTTTTCAGCTAGAGATCCGGGTCCCTTGCAATTCCCATGAAAGCTTGCAACCCGAACCCTAACCCCTAACCCCTAAATCCTAAACCCTAAACTTTAAACCCTACAACCCTAACCCCTAAACCCTAAACCCTCGACCCCAAAGCGCATTTCAAAACCAGTGGAACCGCCTGGGTGACCCGCAGGCGCTCGGGCACCATGCGGCGGTCCAGGCAGAGGCCCGACAAGTCTGAACCTCGTGGCTTCGGCTCGGGGCTTTCATGTCATGTAGGGGCCTTTATCAGTAGACTAGGGTTCCTTTTAAGGGGTCTTTATAAGGGCTATAAGGGATCTATAAAGGGTTACGATTAGCATGGGGTTTTGTGGCATAGCATACTATAATCATACTAATTAAGGAGCCCGAAAATGGTGTTGGTAATTATTTACGCTCCTACATTAGTGATCTCACGGCCACTCTGCTGAGTTTGCTTGCAACACAGCTGAGGCACTCATCAAGCGAACCACGACCTCAGCGACTGCAAAGGGAATCATAGCACGACAGCACCAGATTTCACCAGATGCTTTAGAACCTGACGGCACCGTACGGTCCGAAACGGCAGCGTATATCTGCAGACCAGCGGCCACTCCGTTGAGAAGCTCTGCCCATCGGCAGGATTGGCTGCAGCCGATGTCCGGATGCCTCAGGCAGCAATTCAATGCGGCTCCGCTTCTTCACTGTCTTGGCCTTCCGTTTTAAAACTCTCCGGCAAGAAAGAGCAGCATTCAGCCTGATCCTCCACCACACACCAAACTAACCCCGCTGTCAGTGTAACTATACCCCAAACCCTAAACGGATATGCTCAAACTCCAGAAACGCCCCAGGCCACCGGAACAAGGGAGGGCCGCTGTGGCACGCCGAGGTCTTCCCGAACTCACCTGGGTCCAGGGCTTTAGGGGTTTAGGGTTTGGGGATTAGGCGTTTAAGGGCGCTTCAGGCTTTAGGGCCTGTGCTTAACACCTTACTCCGCTTTCAGGCCTGGGGCTGTGGGTTCGGAAGCATCGTGGGTTGGGATCTATTCTGAAGCTTTAAGAGCTTGGCCAGAGCTGTCCGAGTCACCGAAGAAGAAGTCCGCGTCGTCGTTGCTGATAGTCTTGTCGAAGTCTTCGCCATTCTGAGGCGATCGCGGGCTAATGCAACCGCAAAGCAAGGCCCTTGTTTCAGAAATCAGCTCAGAGCACAAGATCCTCGAGCTGCACGACCCCAAACCCCTCGGTGTGCAAAACGCACCCCGCACACTGACCTCGGCCCTCACCCTCAGATCGAAAGCCCGAAGCACAGGCCGTCAACTTCGTACCCTGAGCCCGAAACCCTCAGACCTTAAAACCTGAAAACCCAACCTAGCAGAAGCAATATAGGGGCTTTTAATCATTCAAACAAGGTTTAGGGGCCCACTATACTACAATTATCATAAGGAGCCCCCAAGATAGCATATTTTAGGATCAAGGCCTCTATCTTATCTCTCCACAAGGTGCCGACAAGCTTCCGGAGGCCACTGCTGGAAGCATGACTCGAGAGACAGCGAGGCAAAGAACATCTCCTGCAACTGGCTTACGGGTCAACAGTTTCGGTTAAGGGTTTGGGGTTTAGGGATTTTGGAGTTTAGAGTTTAGGGTTTAGGGCCTTATGGTTTTAAGGTTTCAGGGTTTAGGATTCGGGGCGGCGTCGGACGGAGATAAAGGAAACAGGCTGAAGCATAAAAGCAAGCATGACAGGAACTTATGCCATCTCAGTCGACAAGACCCGATAGGGCACCCTTTCCTTCGAAGGGAAACAGCGCACAAGCTTGGGATGTCATATCATCAGGCTGGCTTCGAATATCATAAACTGTCTTTTGCCGATGGGTTTTTGGGTTTGGGGCGTTTCGCTTGGCCTGTTTTGGGAGAAGGAGGCAAGCAGCACCCTGTCCCGCGAGGGGAAAGCCGCATCCATGATCCAGGGCGGGAGGACCAGTGGCTCAATCTCCAGGAGGCTCAAGCGAAACCTGGGGTTTAGGGTTTAGGCTTAGAGTTATTGTTTAGGGTTTAGGGTTTAGGAGGCTCAAGCGAAACCTGAAGGAAGCAGCAGGGAGAACATGACTTGGGGCCGCTAGGTGTTCGGGTTTAGGGCTAAGGTCTTCTTTTTTAGGGTTTAGGGTTTAGAGTTTAGGGTTTTAGGGTTAAGAGTTTAGGGTTTAGGGTTAAGGTACGGGTACCTCCGAGAATGAGGACCGGCCTGCAATTGAGAGAGTAGCTTCTGATTCGACGCAAGATCACTTTGGTTGGCCCTTAACCCGAATCCCTTGAGACCGGGACAGACCTACAACAGACGCAATCAAGATGTTTACTCAGCTTACTCTTGACTGGCACACCAGAAAACAAATTGCCTCGTAGCTCATGTAAGCCTCAGGAGCAAACAGAAAAGTTCAACCCAGTCGAGGCACTCCAGGCTTGATTGCAGGAGCAGCTGCGCAGCTTCTCTGGGCGAAGTTTCCTCGGCATGAGGGCGGGGTGGGGCGTCAGGGGCTCCACTCTGAATCCGCCGCTCGAATCTGATCTGCCAGATTGCCAGGCCCCTAAAGCAAGCATCTGCGCTTCCAGTAGCCGCGACTTCAGAGGCTCTGGCTAGGTGTAGGAGCAAGAACAAGAACCGAAGTACACCAGTAGATTCATGGATGTCTTCGCTTTCTTAGCCGAGCCCGGTTCTGACACTCTCCAAACTCTGATCGCGAGACTGCTGTCGGACAAAAATCGCACATTACCCCAAGAGACCTTTGACGATGGGAGTTCTGGCACACTCCTCCTCCCTATAGGATGATGCGAAACTTCTCCCATCACCCGGATCATGTGGGAGCTTCCGAAAATAGGGGACCCTCATATAGTACCCTTAATTGTTATTAGAAGGACCCTAAAACAAGGTACCCCTAATTTTCGGAAACTCCTATCTAAAACCCTAAACCCTACATCCTAAAATCCTAAAACCCGAAGTCCTGGACTCTAAACTCTAAACCCTAAAGCCCCAAAACCCTAAACCCGAAACCCCATCACCGCGATCATCTGAGGCTCCGCAAAGGGATGCAGGCCGATGTGTCTCAGGAGCTCGGTCTCCACCGCCAGGGCCCTGGCGCTCGGCCTGCAGGGGCTTAGGGACCCAAAGTGCTGACTGGGTTTAGGGTTTTAGGGTTATCGGGTTTAGGGTTTAGTTTAGGGTTTAAGGCTTCAGGGTTTTAGGGTTTAGGGTTTATGGGGTTTTGGGTTTGAGGGTTTTCGGGTTTGAGGGTTTAGGGTTTCGGGTTTGAGGGTTTAGGGTTCAGGGGTCGGGCTCAGATTTCACAGCTCCCTGCATCAAGCTCAGCAAACTTTTCAACCCTAAAACCCTGAAACCTTAAACCCTAAACTAAACCCTAAACCCTATAACCCTAAAACCCTAAACCCAGTCAGCACTTTGGGAGCCGGCCTAGGCTCGGATTGGTGGCTCACCGCAGGAATTGTCAGTGAAGCCTCCTCTGCAACCTTCAGGGTTTAGGCTGAAGGGCTTAGGGTGAAGGGTTTACGGTTTACCTTCGGCAGACAGGTAGAAAGCCGAAGATTCCCGGAAACAGCTTCCTGCTGCCGTTGCATCAAGCTGTAGCTACATACGGACTCGCAAACCCGTGCAAATGCTGACGTACAGCGGCGTCTAACAGCATCCTAGCTCATGCCACGAAAAGCCACGACTCTAAGACATCAAGGTCCGGTTTTTCAATACCACCTGGAACTCATCTTTCCGATCATCGTGCCCAGCGGATAGGCATTGCAGTTGCGGGGCCACGAAGTATTCGACCAGACCTCAGGGAGACCAGGCAGAAGTGGTGGAAGCTGCTGACATCCTGTCCCGCCTCTAAGAGTCATGGGAAGCGAGGAAGAAGAGAATCTCTTTCAACAAGAGGGCTTGAGCCAAGTGGAGGCCACGTCTCTGGGATTTCCACAGGAGTGGGGAGGACTCTGCCTCCAAGCATGTCTACGCGGCAGGCAGGTCGCAGGTCACTACTGCGAGCGCCGATGCATGGAACTCTCTATATCTGCATCCAGCTGTATCTCTACCTATACCTATACCTCTACCACCGCCTATGCGGAATAAGCATGTGCATACGTATATGCATGCGTATGTCATAAGCTTATGTAGTGCCTGTGTACAAGTCTATGCGTCTTTATATGTATATGTGTATGTATATGTGTATACGTATGTGTATGTGCATATGTATATGCAATGTGCATTCTATGTATGCATGCCTGAATGTCTATGTATGTATGTCTGCAGGTATGTAGGTATGCATTGTACGTATGTATGTATGTATGTATGTATCCCGATTTATGTATAAATGTGTACACAGGTATATGCACATACCCCAGCATCGACCTGACTCCTTAAAGCGCCCACGGATCCTGCAATAAAGCCTTGAGGACGACATCTCGATCGGCTCGGAGTTCAGCAGGAACCTCCGGCCCCAAGTCGCTGCAGCGGTGGAGGGAAGATCACGGAAGAAGCTGGGGTTTAGGGTTTAGGGTTTAGGGTTTAGGGCAAAATCGGATCAAGAATCGCTTGGTTGGCTGCTCTGGGTCCAAGGGACGATGCGGAGCACTCGCCAGTCTTGACCGACGGCTGCCAGCACGACCTCCCAGACACTCTCGTCCCTCTTTGGAGCTTCGATGGGTCCACGGGGGTCGAATTCGGATAGCCTCGCCTTCACCCGACCTTTTCCTTCTTAGTTGGGCCAGTTCCCTTAGAACTCGTTTCTCTTCGGTATCGCGCCTCCTTATCCGCACGCACGGACGCCGAGGCCAAGGACAGTACCCAGCCATCCTTCCTGGCTGAGGCAGACGCTGCGATTTCATCCTAGGCCTTGGCCTCTACAGCCTTCAAGGCAGCAATCCTCAAGCCTAATCTCCTGTGACACTAAACATATTGGGGAAAACTATTTTTTCCGCAATATGCTTAATCCTCAAGCCGAATCCCCCGTGACCTGGAACCTTTGCCCTTCCCGGACCAGGTAAGATCAATGAAGACACCCGCAGATAGATGCCAACGAGTTTGAGTAAGCTATTGATTCAGTCGTCCGGGAACTCGCAACTAGATTGTTGACAAGAGGAAGAAGAGGAGGAGGCGGCGGAAAACGCAGAGACGGAATCGATGCAAAGGACAGAACTGTAATAAAGAGCAGTATCGTCAACTACTCGGCACTCCTCAAGACTAACTCTGAAATCTCCACAACAGCACCCGACCACGTTTTCACCCAGAAACCATAAGAAAACACTGTGTGATGATATAGTACCCTAAACCCCAAACCCTAAACCAGTACTGTTGATGATACAAACCCTGCACTACCCCTAATAAGGAATATACCATAAGTTCCCTAGTTTACGGTCCAATGCAGGATTTATGTCAACAAACGTAGTACAGTGTCAGACTGCCTCGCCGCTCGGAGGACGAGGTCCCGGTCGCCGTGCAGCTCTGGGGCGGCGAACTGTAAAGCCCAGCCATCCTCAAACCGATTCGACGAACGATGGCTGTTACGATAGTACTGTAATCATATACCATAACATTCGACAACAAAAAACATAATATACCATAGTTAAATACTATAATAACTCATAACCTGATACCAAAAATATGTTCTTACTAGTGCCATCATCGATATTACAGCACACCGCAGGGTATAGGGTTCAGGATGCAGTGGCGGGGTTTGACACGCTAGGAAACGGCATTTCCGGACAGCGGCCTGTTCCTTCAGGATATACCCGAACTGGGCCCAAGCTGGCAGAAACTACAAGCAACCGTTCATCTCGCTGCACCCATTCAGATGTGCATTTTCGTAACAGATTATGATATATAAAGAAAATATTATAGCCCCATACGTTCTATTATTATGGTATCAAACTACGGTACATTATGGTATCTGGTCCTCCTCGACGGCGGCAAGCACCACTTCGCGATCGGCCTCCAAGGGTTCCGCTTGATCAACCCACTGGTATAGGGTTTAGGGTTTAGGATTTGGGGTGTAAGGATTTGGGGTTTAGGTTTGGGGATTTGGGGTTTAGGGTTTAGGGGTTCAGGGGTTTAGGATTTCGGGTTTGGGGGTTTCGGGTTTGGGGGTTTAGGGTTTAGGGCCTAGGGGAGTTTAGGGTTTAGGGTTTCGCAGCCACGGCAGCGATGTAAAAAATGGCAGCTGCATAGATCGAAGGTGCCTCTACCACTGAATCGAAACGCTGGGACCCAGATCCTGCCCCTTAACACATGAGCAGCCTCGAAAGACCTTTCAGCTCTAAGGATCCTGTCCAGACTTCAGTGAACATGTGCAGCCGAAGCGATGCTGAGCTGACCATCCACGGCTCAAAGACCCACTGACTGGCCTAGCAGCTCGCAGCATGCTAAGGCTCAGTGGCAACAAGTATCTCGTGACACATTCCGACAGGCGAAGCTCAGGGAGGGGAAGTAAATGAAGCAAGCAACCCCCGAATGGCAGAAGAAAAAGACCTCAGATCTGGCTCGCCCAAGATGTCAACAGATCCATGCTCCGAGGAGTGATCCGCAGAGGAAAAGAAGCTGACCTAGGACTTCTCCCGAGCCAGACACAGACCCGGACGCGGTTTGTTGCCAAACACCCCTGAGGAGGGTCTAGGGTTTAGGATATTGTGATCATTCTACAGCCCTAGAGCTCTCCGTGGATCTGCACTGCCTGTAGGTGCGCTGGAGCATGCTGCAAGGACCAGCCGTCCTCCCAGACGGTTTAGGGTTCAGTGGTTGGGGTTGTCGCATTACTGTCCGGTTCTGAGTAAGGAATGGGGGAATGGGCTATTGGGACTACTATAGGGAACCTAAGGGACGATCACAGGGATCCATTCCCCCATTCCCTACTAAGAACCAGACAGATCAGGGCGGTCTCAAGGGTTGTTGCATTAGGCCCTTAATAGTTGCCAATACAATTTCCTTGTTATAAGTATAGTATAAGGGGCCGTCTCTTCTTCGAGTTGGCATGAGGTGTGGCTTGAAGGGTCTTGCAGACTGGGATGCCGCTTCCAAGGTCTGGCAGGGCCGTGCTCGTTCCGTCGCTGCATCAAGATAAACCAATGCACTAGCTTGAAAGGGATCCATAAGGGTTACTATAAGGGATCTATAAGTTTACTATAATCTAGGGGCCTTAATGATTAGAATAGGGTTTGGGGGTATATTATCCTCGTGATATAATCAGGAACCCCGCATAGTATTGGTAACAATTCAGGCCCCTATATAATCCCCTCTCCTTTCGCACAGCTTCGAGGACATCCTGGCACGGGAAAGGCAGCCACCCCGAAAACGACTGGAACTACCAGGCACATCACACGTCATACTGCCAGGGTGAACCGCAAGTGCTCCATGCCGGAAGACCTCCCACTCTTGAAACTTGAAAGCATGGGACAGTGAAAGACACGTGAACGGAGAGGGGGATGCTTCTTTCAAGTCTCTTCAGTGTGGAACTCGCGAGCGGGTACCGCCGGAACCAGAACTGCCGTTCTGCACGTGTCTGACACTTTAAGCAGGAGATCCAATAGAAGCAATGACAATGACTACTCTGGTGATACTTGTCACCACCATTTAAATTGCCAGTCCACAGCGTAAAGCCACCCTGGCACCTCGCGGCAGCGTGCTCTCGGTACAGCATGGGCCCTTACCTGCACCACGAAAAACTTCTGCACCCGTTCTACGAGTACGAGATCACCGTCCATGTCTAGCTTTGGGGTTGTGATTTCCCATCGTGGTCGCCCCCATGTGCAAGTCTCAATATGGATATCCCGACAGGCTGTTTCGACCACTGATGTGTTCTCATCATGACGAACTTATTCGATCTGGAACTCCCTTGCCCTATCCGGAAGGAATGCCGATTCAATGGTCTTGAAGCTCGAACTCGACCTGCAAGCAACACTGACACCAAAGATGTGGGGCGAGCTCTGCCTCTCGAAGGGAGCACTCCAAGCCGCTTTTGGAAGCATGAAAGTCAAGCAAATAATCAGCTCTGGCAAAGGCTGCTCTTCAGCCCTACACCCTGAGCCCGAAACCCTACACCCTGAGCCCGAAACCCTACACCCTAAACAAGGAACCCTACACCCTTAGAGCTCTGGACTTCTGCGACTTTCGGGCGGATGAAAGGCCACCGCCACCGGGGCTCACCGTCACAAGGGTGGGCTCGCTGCTCACCTCTCCGCCTTACCCGTGTAGACAGGGCATGACCCAAAAAACACGCAAAAATAATTGTGATAGTCATGATCATAAGATTGCTCAACTACACGAAATAATCAGACTCATAACCATGATACCAATAGATAGCAGCACTTCTCGCTCTAGCCGGAACCTGGGGACCTAGAACCCTTGTCCCTGCATCGCCTGACGTTTTTGAGCACACCTGAACCCTGGACGTTTCCCGCTGAGCTTCGATGCCAGCAAGCTCCACGGCGCCTGACGTAGCTCCTTCAACGCAGGGATTTGACAAAAGCATTCCTGGCACCACTACTGCTACCACAGCAACAACCACCATGACGACGACCACAACGATTGCTGCTACTACCGCTGCCGCTGCCGCTGCCGCTAAACCACTACCACTACCACCACCACCACCACCACCACGACTACTGCTACTACTACTACTACTACTACTACTACGACTACGACTACGACTACTACTACTGCTACTACTACTACTACAACTACTACTACTACTCCTACTCCTACTCCTACTCCTACTCCTACTCCTCCTACTACTACTACTACTACTACTACTACTACTGCTACTACTAAACAGAAGCTACTGCTACTGCTGCTGCTACTGCTGCTGCTGCTACTTCTACTTCTACTTCTACTTCTACTTCTACTGCTTCTGCTACTGCTACGGCTACGGCTACTGCTACCGCTACGGCTACTGCTACTGCTGCTGCTGCTGCTGCTGCTGCTGCTGCTGCTGCTGCTGCTGCTGCTGCTCCTGCTACTGCTACTACTACTACTACTACTACTACTACTACTACTACTACTACTACTACTACTACTACTACTACTGCTACTGCTACTACTACTACTACTACTACTACTACTACTACTACTACTACTACTACTACTACTATTACTACTACTCCCACAACTACTACTTCTACTTCTACTTTTAGTATTACTACTCACTACTCCTCGTGATGCTGCTGCTGTTGCTACTACTGCTCTTCCAACCACCTTCACCACTGCTGCCACCACCACTGCCATCGCCATCACTGCCAATGTGACACTATGACGACGAACAATGCCAACAAAGACGACGATGAATACTACCACTATCATCATCAGGAGAAAGAAAATCAACAACACATGTGATCATAGTGAAGCTGTCGCCGAAGATGCGAATTATCATGTACCATGATCATCAGCAACAGGACATGTGATCATGGTGAAGCTGTCGCTGACGATGCTTATGATCATGACCCCGAGTCCCGGACTATGCTCCAGGCCAGATGAAGGTGATGATTGTGATCATCATGATCGAGAGCTTGGCGTAATGATGATCATCACGATGAGTGAAGGCAAGGAGGCAGAGCAGTATGAGGAGAATGACCAAGGATAAGAAGAGGAGGAGGAGGAGGAAGACCACAACAACGAGGGCGGCGGTGGTAGCAGCCACGAAGACAATAGTTCGGATTGCTTCCAGGTTGTAGCCTTTGCTTCCAAGGCGGCTGCCCGCAGTCGAGCACTGTGCCGCTTGAGGATCTCCCACGTGAGTCTGGCCCCCTTGAATTGGGCGCCCTAGCGAAGACTTGAAGATCCGATCTTTGTTACTTGGAGGATCATGGGACTTAGTAAGTATGGTTTGCCTTCATTAGGGTTATATGTCATCATAAGTATAGTTACCTGAATACTAACCCTAGATACTAAGTCCCATGATCCTCCAAGTAAACTGGCAAGATCTTTTGCAGCATCACAGCACACGGAAGGTGCGACGGCTGGCGAAGTGCACAGTGCGCCTGAACCCGAAGCAACTGCCTGCGTCGCTGCGACAGAAGCACCAAGAAGCCAGCATCAGCCGCATCATGGCTCCCCCCGTTTCCCCGAAAACCTCCAGGAGACAGATCGCGAGAAGGACCAACAACAGATCTGACCATGTCCGGTCACCTCTTCTCCCTCAGAAGAAGCTTTGGTGATCTGGCCTACCGTGAAGCAATGAGAATACTTCTTTGGAGGCAGCTCCCTGAACGTGAGTGGAAGGGCTACCCTCAATCTTGCATTTTGGTCTAATCCTGTCCCTAAACTCTCACCCTATGAACCCGGAACACCGAACAACGGGGGTGTTTCGGTAAGTGACCTTAACCTAAGCCCGATCTCGCGCCAAGGCCCCTAAGCAAGGGATCCCCCGCGGAATAAACCCTACAATGTAACGTAATCTGATATCTTGCACCAAATTACAGTCTGACACTATGGTACAACACATCATCGTTTATTGTATTATGTTTTGTTGTAAGATACTACAATAAACTGAAACGCATTATAAGAAGGGTCCCTAGATAAGAGAGCCCCAATTTTCGAAAATTAGGGGTTCCTTATTTTGGGGTCTTTTTCGTAAGGATCCCATTATTCAGGGTACTATATTAGGGTCCCCTATTTTCAGACAGAAACCCCCGAGCGTCCTGGCGACACCTGCCCACGCCAGGATCGCATAGAGCTGGAGCGCTGCAGCCAGGAAACCCCATCCGGCGGGGACGGCGCGTGAGCGCCGGCTACAAAGGAGACCTGGTATAGAGTCATTGCTAGTATAGCACTGGTATTTTGGTACTCATACAATAACACTAGTTACGATTCTTAACAGTATTTTTATTCTTGTTACTATTGCTGGTAAGTTTCAGAAGTGCATGAAGGATTAGATTATCCTCCACGTTCAAGTGATTTCGGCTTCAAGGTTTAAATGGGATTACCGCCTGGTAGCATTCAGAGACTTGTTGAAAAGTCTTGGATGGTGTAATGTTGGTGTCAGGGACTGTTAGAGCGGCAGCATAAGAGCTCTCAACTTGGTGGGGCAGGCGACTTAGTAAGTAGGTTATAAGTATACTTATAAGTACCCTAGATGGAGTTACCCCAATTATAACCCTACTTATGACCTACTTACTGAGTCCCCCACCCCTCCAAGAAGAATCAACGGGGCAGGCTTGGGGACTATCTTGAGCTTCGGGGATCCGTTTAGGGTCTTTGACCCTCATCGATGCACAGAACTGCTTCCTTCGATGCCGTTTCCATGACTAAGCCTTACTTAGACCATTATGATGATGATTGCTATTGCTGTTATTATGAATAAGAAGATGATGATGACGATTACTATTGTTATCATTATTATTAGTATTATGATTACGAATATGGTTATTGTTTTCATGATAATATTACTGTCATTATTCTCAATGTACTACTTCCAATATTACTTGCACTATCATTAATGTGGCTTTTTTCTAGTACTAGTGCTGCTACTGTTATTATCACTATTATTGCTATCATTAGTCTTGGTTTCATTTCTGTGATTCTGATTATTGTTGTTGGGATCATTGCTGTCATTATTGGTATTGCTATTGTTGTTGTTGCGGTACCTCGGAGGAGGCAAAGGACGGCCGGCCATCGTCATCGGCAAAGTCCACGTCAAACTGGATGTCGTCCTCGATAAAGTCTCCGCAGCTGTTACGCAGATACTTGCGGATCACCTCGCACGGTTTAGGGTTTTCAAGGCGTGTTGCCCGTTTGCCCGTTGAGCGCCTGCTCTAGCTCCACACAAAGAGCACCCTGAAACCAAGTTTAGCAACTTTGGCCTGCCTAAAAGTCACCGCTGAGAGGCCCTATAGCCTAATATAAAGGCCTTGATGATTAGAATAGGGCTTTGGGGCCCAGTATACTATAAATATAGTAAGGAACCCCCCCCAAAAAAAAAACAGTGTAGTTGTTGTTGGTAGGACTCCAGAGCCCTCATTAGGGCGCGTCCAATAAAAAAAAAAAACAGTGTAGGTGATTATTCATCACACTGTCAGCACACCGGGGGCTTGTGCCGAGGAGCCTTAAAGGCTGGAAGGGTCACGATGTCCAGGAGAAGGAGAAGGCAGAGGGCTCCTTTAGGGTTTAGGGTTTAGGGTTTAGGGTTTAGGGTTTAGGGTTTAGGGTTGAAGGAGGAGGCAGAGGGCTCCTTGCACAGCGAGTTTGCAGAGCCGGGTGGCGGGGCCACTGACTTTCCCGAAGCGGAAGCACTCAAACTTCTCAACATCCTTGAGGAGGTACCTTAGCACGGGATCCGGCCTACCGCTCCAAGCTTCGCTCTCTGTTGGGCACTGGCACCTTGGGGGTTTAAGAGCTCTTTGAGGACTCTGCCACTGTTCTGGCTGCGTTGCAACGTCAATTCGAGAGGACAGCTTTTCTCGTTTCCGACGGTGCAGACCTTTTCTTGAGCGGCCCCCGAATCGAGACTTGGCTTCAGCGGGTAGTGGTGTCGGCACACGGTAATCTTGCCACAAGAGCTTTTGTCAGGCGTTGGCGATACGATCAGGAGCGACGGCCGCAAGGAAATCCCGACTCCCCCACAGCTCCTTTGGGAAAAGCACTCTTGAAGCTGCTTGTGCAGCGCTCTGAACGGTCCAGAAGCCCAATCTCGCATGTCGTAGGCCCCGCAGCCGATGCTGTCCAGTGCAGTGGCGAGAGGTAGGAGAAGCTCAAGCTCAGTGCAGTCTGAAGGAAGTCCTTCGCCCTCGAGTTTGATGCCAAGGTCCACAGGGTTGAAAAGATCCGGAATCGGAAGTCCCAAGCCCTCCCTTCGCTCGTTCTCTGCCCTTCCGTGGATCCGCTGCTTGCAGTTGGGCCACTTCGCTCCCAGGCGGCGAGTGAAGTCCCCCACTTCGAAGAAGGAGTTCCAGACATCGCATTGGCGGCTTTGCTCCGGGGAGTCCTCCGTGGGGTCCACTGCATCGAGGGCTACCAGGCCCATGGCAGATTCGAAACAGGTGCACTTCGCCAGAAGTAACGGCCGGGCTAAGATTACGGTGGACAGAAAGTTGAAGACGAGCACAAAGTAATAACAGCGAACTTGACCTGTGTTCCGTCGGATGACCGACCACGTCCCAAGGACATGGGCCAGAAGTCGAAATATCAGAATCGCGGCCAGGACCTTCCACCCAAAATCCGGCAGCCAGAGCTTCCCCAGAGCTTTATGGCGCAAGAACAACAGCAGCAGCACGCTGCTGCCGGCGAAGTCTAGCAGGATGAAGGCCACAAGAGTCCTGGGTAAAGATCACATGTTCATACTACATTCATGTTGCGTCTGCATGGTATGCATCGAGCTGATACGACAAGCTCTGTCTTGTTTTCTCGCGGGTCCTGCGAGAGACCCAGGGATCCAGAAACTTGCACTCAAACCTGAAAGCCTCTCGGAGCCTCCAGCAGCCATCGCAGACAGAGCAAAGCCTGGCACAGGCCGGGTCTTATCTAGCAAGCCGTTCCTTACCAAAGCGATCTCTGAGCGCCGTAGACAGAAGAAAGCCCTGACTAGAAACTTCGCCCGAGCCACGAACAAGCCTAACATGGCCTATGAATTCCCAACCGAGGCATTAAAACAATAACTTTCCTCGCCTCCCGCACCAATCGGAGAGCACTCGCCGGCAATGCCAACATCGTCTTGTCATGCTGGCCAAGGCATCTCAACCCAAGCAGCGAGGCGATGCTGTTCGTAGGGCGCCTATTGCAATCGAGGGTCTAATCTATGGTCACCTTCTTCCGATGCATGACATGTCTACATCAACAAAACCATCGGCCCGCTTCTTGTCTAGCATTCTAGCACTTCGACTGCTGGTCTGAACCCGAAGCTGCAGCGTTGAGCTTGTAGGCACAAAGGTAGGTGTGCATATATCAATGTATAGCATACATCATATATCATATGTCATATGTCATATATATATATATATATATATATATATGTGTATATATATACATATATATATGTATTTCGCATTTCCAAGCATTCAGTGGTGTTCGCAGCCTAATTAACAAACATGCAAACCAGCAGTATGCACTCAGGAAGGAAGGCGCCTGGGTATTCAACTCGCGCCACTCAAACCTGGAGCAGAAATCTGCAAAAACCCAGCCTTAGCGCAAGCAACGCTGCTGGATAAGACAAAGGTGGAGATTGACCCGGCACCATTTAAGGCAAAAGCCGTCTCCAACTCAACCAAAACGCAATGGCAAATCCTGGGCCTTAAAGGCACCAGGATAACCAAGCAACCGTGCTACTGCTGCTGCCGTAACTGCAGGCACAAGTCAACTCAACTACCAACGTCCCATTGGGGACGTGGTAGTGTGCGTTCAAAGCCAAGGAACCTACATCACACACTCATGGCCAAACCGTGCGTGCACAGAATGGCCTCAGCCTGAGCCTATTCCTCATGGGGCAAAAGAGGCAAACTGCAAGCTGTACGCCCCTCACAGCATTAAATAGAAAAAGCTGTGCTTACTAACAGCACGTAGCCTCAAGGGCCACGATGCACGACATAGGGCAGCAATCAACAATTGTCGTGCCGCCTTGTCTTTTCTTGTCCAAACGTCTGCATGCCACCTCGCATGTGCGGAGTCAAGTGAGGGGTCGACTCCTTCTGCAGGTTGCAATCCGAAAGAGTAAGGCCACCCTCAAACTGCCTGCCAGCAAAGATCAGGTGCTGCTGGTCGGGCGGGATGCCTGCCTTATTTTGGGACTTCGCCTTGACTTTGTCGAACGTGCCACTGGCCTCAACGTCCAAGGTGAGCGTCAGGATCTTGACAAAGATCTGCATGCCGCCTCGCAAGTGCGGCGCCAAGTGAGGGGACGATTCCTTCTGCAGGTTGTAATCGGAAAGAGTACGGCCGCCCTCAAACTGCCTGCTAGCAAAGATCAGGTGCTGCTGGTCGGGCGGGATGCCTGCCTTATTTTGGGACTTCGCCTTGACTTTGTCGAACGTGCCACTGGCCTCAACGTCCAAGGTGAGCGTCAGGATCTTGACAAAGATATGCTTGCCGCCTCGCAAGTGCGGCGCCAAGTGAGGGGACGATTCCTTCTGCAGGAGGTAACCGGAAAGAGTACGGCCGCCATCAAACTGCCTGCTAGCAAAGATCAGGTGCTGCTGGTCGGGCGGGATGCCTGCCTTACTTTGGGACTTCGCCTTGACTTTGTCGAACGTGCCACTGGCCTCAACGTCCAAGGTGAGCGTCAGGATCTTGACAAAGATCTGCTTGCCGCCTCGCAAGTGTGGCGCCAAGTGAGGGGACGATTCCTTCTGCAGGTTGTAATCGGAAAGAGTACGGCCGTCCTCAAACTGCCTGCTAGCAAAGATCAGGTGCTGCTGGTCGGGCGGGATGCCTGCCTTATCTTGGGACTTCGCCTTGACTTTGTCGAACGTGCCACTGGCCTCAACCGTCAGGATCTTGACAAAGATCTGCATGCCGCCTCGCAAGTGCGGCGCCAAGTGAGGGGACGATTCCTTCTGCAGGTTGTAATCGGAAAGAGTACGGCCGCCCTCAAACTGCCTGCTAGCAAAGATCAGGTGCTGCTGGTCGGGCGGGATGCCTGCCTTATCTTGGGACTTCGCCTTGACTTTGTCGAACGTGCCACTGGCCTCAACGTCCAAGGTGAGCGTCTTGCCTGTCAGGGTCTTGTTAAGGATCTGCATGCCGCCTCGCAAGCGCGGCACCAGGCGAAGGCGTGCCTTCCATGGGCACTGGGGCTACCGATACTTCCGCGCTGCTGCGGCCATTCGAGCCCTATATATATGTGTATATATATATATATATATATATATATATATGCATATATATATATATATATATATATAGGCCACAAGTTTCGAAGCCAAGCCTCGAAGCCGACTCCAGCATGCGCACTCTTCAACAGCACCTCCCCTCCCAGCCTGGAAGCCGAGAGGTGGGTCGAGCCTGGAACGGTCGATGGTATAACTCTATTAAGGGTACCTTAAGGGGGTTCCTGTAAGGGATCTATAGGGCTTTAGGGTTTTAGGGTATAGTTATGTAAATCCTGCATGACCCATAATAAGAAGTATACCGTAATTTTCATAGTTTAGGGCCCTGAAGGTAATGCAGGATTTATATCATCAACAGAAGCACTTCGAATCCACTCTTCAAGCAAACTTAAAGGATCATGGGACTTAGTAACTAGGGTTAGTATTAAGGTAACTATACTCATAATTACTTATAACCCCAATTAAGGGACTTATAACCATACTTACTACAAAAAGCGGTGAGGTGATTCTCTGCCGGCTGCCCGAGGCTGCCCAGACCAATGCACTGGGGTGCTTCACGCGGTCCGGGTGTTTGGAGCTTCGGTTGAGAGGGGTTTGGATCGGATCTTATCTTGAGCCGGGCTTCACAGTTTGCGCCCGTCCGGGGTTACAATTTCGAGGTCAATTGGGGTATGGGTGTATGCTGGTTTTCTGGCTTTCGGGCTGGGTACGGAAGCAAATATTTCTGCTCCCCGCCAGAACTCAAACCCAAGTTCAACACGCTAAATGCCAAACCGCCAAACCTGGATCTCCCAAACCTCAAAAACCCACTTCGAGACCTCACCCCTAAGCACCAACGAAGCCCTTGGACGAAAAGACGACGCAAACACGAGCTGGTTGATTCTAAACCTTCCCTCAGCCTTGTTACTACCCTAAACCCTAAACCTTAAACCCTAAACCCGAACACAAACCCAAGGAAGTCCCAGGCTCTCTGAGTCCAAACGCGCGAAACCTGAAACTCTCAGAGCCTCCAACCCTCAAGGTCTGGGCCTCGGGGCCTTAGAGTTTAGGGCGTGGCGTTCAGGGTTTAACGGGCCCTGGGAAAGACACAAAAGACCATTCAACTCAAGACTCTTCGAAACTCACAGGCCCATACAGAACCCTGAACGAATTCAAATTTTGCAAACCCCTGAAAAAAAAAAAAACGACAATCTTCTAGAAACGCCCAAACTCTTAACCCCAAGAGCCCGAAACCCTAAACCCTGAACCCCTCTACAAAAACCCACAAAGCCATCTTTGAAGCGCCCAAGGCGCCCGAAGCGCTCAAGAAAAGCCCGCTCTTGGGCCTTGCCAGTCGAGTCGCAGGGCGTTGGGCTGACAAAGACTGCGACCACTGCCACCACTGCTACCATCACCACTACCACCACTATCACCACTACCATTAACACTGCCGTTACCATGATCATTACTATGGTTATTGTTCCTATTAGCACTGCTGTTATTATTGTTTTATTGGTTGAAAAGGTTCAGAGGGTGCGGGTTTCAGCGCTCACATGTGGTGTTTAGGGTTAGGGTTCGGGGTGTAGGTAGGGTTTTGGGTGAAGCCCCTAAACCCCTTAAACCCCTAAAGCCTAAACCCCTAAACCCCTAAACCCCTAAACCCCTAAAGCCTAAACCCCTAAACCCCTAAACCCCTAAACCCTAAACCCCCTAAGGGTTGAAGTTTTTTTCGGCTTTGGGTTAAGGGTTTAAGGCTCGGGGTCTTGGGTGCATTGTGTGAGGGCTTCTGAACCGGAACAGCTGCTTCTCTTCGCCAGTGCTTGTGTGGAACTGTAATCACAACAAGATTAACACTAGTCATCATAATGGCACTAATAACAATAAGAAGAGGAATAGTGCTAATCATAATGGTGAGAATCACATTAACTACAATAAGTATACAAACAATAGCTACAATGGGAATTCATACGAATAACCATCATAATCATGGTAATAGCAATGCTAACAAATAGTAACAACATTACTAGCAATGGCTCTTCTGATGTGGAGCTCAAGCTTGGGATGAGCTCGTAGAAGAAAGCTTGCTGAGGCTTTTACGGTACTCTTACAATACTAGATAGCATAGTACATTATAAGCTGCTGTGATATACTTAATGTACAATACTTTAGTATAATGTAATGTAGCACAATATGATATGATATATTACAATATAACATGATACAATATAACAGAATACGTAATACAATAATATGAGGTTACAGCGTATTTATTTGTTCGTATTTTGATATAATACAATGCTCAGTGTGAGTTTCCTGAAGCTCTGCCGATGCCGAATGGCAAACTTTGCTTGGATGCTACGGCGACTGGCTGCCATCAGAACGTGGCTTCCCAGGGTTTTGTGGTTTGAGGATTTATGGGTCCGAGCTCCAGCCTGCCAGAGATGGCAAGTTTGGGGGGTCTGACATGCCTGTGAGTAGTAATCATGATGGTAGTCATTTTATTAGGAATAGTAATCCTGATAACAACAAAAGTGATAACATGCCAAGCACGGTCCTGCCAGTGAAAGATGAACAGCGCGCCGCTCTTTTCGAAAGGAGAGACGCGCAGTCTCGCTTTGCGAGTTTGGCGGTCATCTAAAGGCCACTGCAGATGGAGTAGTGCTCCGTCTTCTTTGTGCCTTGCAATCAGGCCACATCTGCAGGCAGGGAATGCTTGAGTGCCGAGGAGTAGCAACCCTGCTGGTATAAGGCAGCTGCATGACTGGCTGGCAAGGCAGCACGAAGTGGGGCCAGTGAAGCCTTTGCCACCACACTGTTCACCGTAGCCGGCACCTAAGCAAAGTTTGGTCCCACTTCGCTGTTACATGGTGGACTGCATTGCAGGCAGGTGGCAGTCAATGTCTGTTTTGGAAGGCAAGCACTGCCTGCGGCCGGAGACTTGTGCAAGCGTCACCGTATACTATACTACATTACATTGTAATATATGAGATTAGACTAATGTATGTCATAGTACGTTGCATTATACTATGCTGTATAGTACGGCAAGAGTAAACGCACCGACCCTCATGTCCCACAACTCCGACTCGCGCAGTTCACATCCACCTTGATCCGAGGTTCCCACATTCCTCCCCAGCCCCCTACATTATTTTGGGGTCTTTGTAATAAGGATCCTACTATTTAGGGTACTCCATTGGGGTCCCATATTTTCGGAAACTCCCAAAAGTTTCTATAAGAGTACTATTGAGGCTTGGTTTTGTAGGATGTATTTAGGGTACTACATTCGGGCCCCCTCAATTCAAACACCCCTCCCATCGTTTCTGGAGGCCCGGCCAGTAGTCTTGCTGCGCATCGTCGCAGAAGGAGCCCCTCTCACAGCAGAGCGGCGAGGAGAATCCTGAAGGGCTGCGACAGGTGCAGGCTTTAGGGTTTAGGCATTGGGGTTTAGGGGGTTAAGGGTTTAGGGTTTAGGGGTTTAGGGTTTAGGGACTGGCTTTGGGCTGAAACAAAAGGTGAAAAGGATTTGCCGCAGCTGTCCCCGTCCCTGGCAACGACTTGACTGCTCTACGAGAGTCTACAGTACGAAGCCCGCCTTCTCCGCCACACTGCTGAAATACTTGCACGCACCTCGCTTCAAGTACCAGTTGTCGGTTAAAGTTCCTAGTGCCTCCGACCACGTACTGCTCACAACTTTCCATCCAACATGCAGATCTTGAGGATCTCTGTCCGGACTGACATGGCGCGGATTGGAACCGTTGCAGTCTTAAGCTCAGGGCTTCGTAGCATTCCCTGTGTCGGCTGGCGATTCGGTCGGCTTTTCTGCCGGTGGCTGGGCCTCGGTCACGACTCCGGACATCCAACACAGAAAACCCGCCTGCGCGGACACACAAACCACTTGGTGCGCACCACGCACGCCCATGTAAGCATGCCTTCAAGATCGAAAAGACGTTGAGTTGCTAAGAAGCAGGCCCAACTGGAGTTTCCGGCTGGCGCAATGGGCATGCTACGATTTTCGGTGGTACTGGAAATGGTGCCGTTGGCGATCTCGCCAGTGGTGGTTGCTACTTCTGCCTCGGCGGTGGTTGTTGACGTGGCTTCTGATGCTGTTGTCGTTGCTGTTGTTGTGGCTGACACTGTCACATCGTCTGTGCTGGTGCTTGCAACCACCTCTTCCTCTGTGGAAGTGGCGTTGCTAGTCGGGGCTGCTGTGGTTCCGGCCGCCGTTGTGTTGGCAGACGTGACAGAGCTACTGGTCGTGGATTCAGTGGTGGTCGTGGACGTGGTGGTCGTAGTCGTCGTGGTGGTCGTGGTCGTAGTCGTCGTGGTTGGTCGAGGGATGTTACTGTCACACATATCTGCTCGGAAAGCACCTGCGCAGGCCAGGGTTTCAAGTTCTTCAGAAGCAGAATACCGACCGCCTCGTCAACTCCAGACAGACCGTGCTCCTAACAAAACCCGCCGCCCGAACCCAGAGACTGGGCCACTTCATCACAGGCCTCCCCAATCCCACCGACTTCGAGACGAAAACGCTCGAAACTGACCTTCGCATCACCTTACAATACACCCTGAGCCCAAGCACTATCCGAAGGCCCTCCGATCTTTCAAAAGAAACCAAAATCCTAGCATCAACTTAAACCCTGAAACCCGTCAGCCCTCAGTTCTGAAGGCTTCAGGCCGACCGCCCCAGCCCTCAGCCTGGACTCCGCGTCCAAGTGCCCTCCGGACATTCGTAGCACTCGGTGAAGGCGAAGCCATCTCGGCAAGGTTTCGAGGCAGTAAATAGGATGACAGTGACTCCGACGACTATTACGGTCAATATCTGTATCGTTACCATTCTCACTGATAGTGCTGCTAGTAGTAGTGGCGGTGGTGGTAGTAGTAGTAGTAGTAGTAGAAGTAGTAGTAGTAGTAGTAGTAGTAGTAGTAGTAGTAGCAGTGTAGCAGTAGTAGTCGTGGTGGTGGTGGTGGTGGTGGTCAAGCTGACTGGCGGTGATGGCAATGGTCATAATCGCAAATCGCACTCACAAACCTGTACTCTGATCCATCAAAAGATTGCTCATCGTGCCTCTTCTAGTACTCGGAACAGGCCAGAATACGAATGCAAGATCCACAAACGTGCCTCCTGGACATCGTCGTCATCGTCATCCTCATCATCAATACCACCATAATCCTTCACCGTCATCACCATTCGTAGCATCGAAACTACTGCGGATCGCAGCTGACATAGAAACCAGAAGAATCTCTCTGAGGACAAATCGCAGTTCAATTCCCATCATTGTTACTACTATTACTACCATAACTATGATCTTCACTGCTATATTTTGACTGTTTCTACTATCAAAAACTTAGTGTTGTATCTGCACGGCATTGGGCCCCCATCCCACGGACTTGTTGCGCATGTCAGCTCCGACCCCTCGGCAAGTTATGTCTTGCACCTGGCATTCCCGGTGCTCTACACAAAACTTCGTCCACGTACCGCCAGCTTGCTGGGGAAGCGTGGCACTGCGCCCCTAGACTGGACTAATGAGAGTCAAACATGTTCTGGTCCCTAAACCCTAAACCCTGAACCCCAAACCCTGAACACTAAACTCATCACCCTAAACCCCAAACCCGAATCCACTCCCTGTTTGCTGTCTGGTGGCCGCTGTAAGTGCCTCGCCAGGATGGAAAAGCTTCAGACGCGCGCAGTTTCCGGCTCAGGCTTCAGGCTCAAAGCTTGGGGGACGAGCATACTTGCTCTTAGTCGTAATACTACTAGAAATACTAATGGTAAAAATTTATTGTAATAATCGTAGTAGTAGCAGTAGTAGTAGTAGTAGTAGTAGTAGTAGTAGTAGTAGTAGTAGTAGTAAGAGTAAGAGTAATGTAATAACAGTAGTAGCCCTCCCACTGCCAAGCAGGCTGCCCTTGCATTGTTGTGGATAGCACACTCGCATCATGACCTTGGGCGTGCTGTGCTCGTACACGTGTGCTTCCCAAGCATCATGGAAATCACTTACCCTGAACTCTAAAGCCTGAATCCTAAAATCCTAAACCCTAAACCCCACTCTCTTCCCACCTCTTTAGGAGCACGAGATAACCCCCACCCCCCCCCCAAAAGGAGGAGTGTGTGTCTAACCCGGCCTGCCGGGCACCTCTCGCACTGCGAGGCGCCGACCTTCGCGGAGAAGTTCCCCACAGCGCAAAGCACGCAAAGCCTGGCGTCAGCGGCGGCCTCTGCGCGGCGGTGAAGAGCCCAGGAGTCGAAACCTAGAAACCTACATGCAGACATCCTCCAGCTCAGGGGCCTTAGCACTCGTTTATGTATATATATATATATATATATATATATATATACATATACACATAT